TGTCCTACAGACCCTGCACATCTTACACTCCCAGCACTCTGGACTTGGGATGGTTTATAAACCCTGCCCTGCTCAGATCCCAGAGAGAACAGACCTGGAGCACCCTACTAAAACTCGATCCAGGACCTAGGGCACCCTATAATCTCTGTACACCCCAGCCCTGGGACCTGGGGTGCCCTAGAGAGACCCTGTACCTCCTGGATCGGGACCTGGGATGGGGACACAGACCCTGCACATCCTGGAATAGCACCTGGGACACCCTACAGCCTCTGCATTTGCCAGTTCCGGGACGTGGGGCACCCATAGCCCTTGTTCACTGAGGCACCCCGCAGAGACCGCACATGCCCCCGCCTTCCCCTACAGCCCGTGTCCGCCCCGGTCCCGGTCCGGTACCTGCTCGTCGCCGGGCTCGATCTCCCCCACGTAGTACTGCTCCAGCCAGCGGCGGGCGTTCTCCGAGTGCCGGTGGGGCGGCCCGTCCAGCGCCGCGCTCACGTCGGTGCCGGCCCGGCGGCGCAGCAGCTGCTCCCCGCCCGGGTGCAGCCGCACGAAGCCGCTCAGGTCGTACAGGCGGCGGTGGCAGGAGACCAGGCAGGCGCCCTGCGCGCAGCGCGCCCGCACCTCGGCGGCGCTGAAGGACCGCGGCCCCGCCGTGGCCATGGCCCCGCCGCCGGTGCCCGTCCCGGTGCCCGTCCGAGTCCCCGTGCCGTGCCGTGCCGTCCCGCCGCCGCGCTCTGCCCGCACCTGCTCATCTGCATACATGCATATGCAGCAAGGCCACGCCCCGGGCCGCGCCCCGCCGCAGCCCATTGGGCAGCCATGGACGGGTGGGGCATGGCTGGGGCGGGGAGGCTCCGCCCCACCGCAGGTACCCTGGAAAGTGGGAATGAGGCGTCCCTGGAGAGGCAGAACGGGGCGAAGGGGGCACGGGGCACCCACGGGGTGAATGGGGAGTGAGGCGTCCCCAGGGGAGGGGAGTGTGCCCCTCAGGGCCCATCAGGGTGGGGGAACGGGGGTCTGGGCAGCCTGGGATGGGTTATGGGGGGCACTGGGGTACCCCGGCGTGGAACTGGAGTATGGGCATCCCTGTGGCAAGGATGAGGCTGTGAGGGCATCCTGGGGTGATAGCTGGGGGTATAGGGCAGCCCTGGGGGAATCACCCTTCCCAAGTTACCAATCCCCCTCTAAGATCCTCTGTGGCCAAGGCAGGGGACACCCCAGTCCTGGCTCAGAGTGCCCTAGGAGAGCAGGGTCCTTCCTAGGGTCACCCAGAGGCCAACTCACCCCAGTGTCACTTGCTGCCAGGCACCACATCCCCTTCCCAGCTGCTTGAAGATATATTTCAGTATTTAATTAAATTTGCAAGTAGCTGGGGGGGGGGAGGGGGGGCAGGATGTAGCCCCAAATACCCCGAAGAATCACAGCCAAATAATTAATAAAGAATGACAAGTAAGGAGTTTCCCATGCATTTTTTTGTGAAGATTTCCCTCTGAAGTAAGGGGGGCTGCTTTGGGGTGACACCCTTGACCACAAGGGCTGGCCACGTGCCAGCAAATTTGGCGTTGCCGGCCACACCGGGCTGGAACCAGTGATTAAGGTGGGGTTTGCCATCCCAGGAATGGGGAGCCCCCCCAGCCCCACCTGTAAGGGTGGGTCACCACACCACCTCAGCCCCCCGGCTCTGGGGTGCTGTGGGGCGCAGGCCAGGCGCTCACTGAGGCCTTTAATCAAGGTGGATGCAAAACCTGCTGTGGCAGTCGGCATCAGCTCCACCTCCCCACCCGGCTCCGGGCATGGCCCTGCCACCTGCTTGGGGGAAAGGTCCTTTTTTGGGTGGGCAGATTGATTTTGCACCCTGATAGGAGCAGAAAGGTTAAGGGTGGGCATGCTCCTGGCTGGGGCTGCTGCAGGGCACCTGAGGTGCATTGGGAGTCCCTTGGGGTGGAGGACAAAAACCATTTTCTGGGGGTTGGGAGGGCCAGAGTAATCCTGAGAGGTTGCTGGGAGACCCCAAATGAGATGCTGGAGTGGGACACTCTCCCAAGGGGGTTCCCCAATACCCTTAATGGCCACGGTGGTCCTGGTTGTGGTGGGTGAGCTCAATCTGGCACAGCTCTCTGGGGCATTAGGGTGGCTTCTGGATGGACACTGAGGATTTTTTGATGAGCATGAGGGCAAGGTGGGGGGCAGATCTGAATGAGCTGGGGCTCTCAGCTGAAGGCCACTGCACCCAATCCCAAACCAGGGACCCCAGGCCCCAAGCATGCTCAGGTGCAGTGGCCACTATCCCTTTGTGGGGTGCTGGAGGAGATGGAGAGGCCACCTGGTTGTGACCCCCCCGCCCCACGCAGTCCCCACTGGCTGCTCTTGCTTGTGCAGCCCAGCCCTACCATGGGTTTTGGGGCCACAGGCTGCCAAGGGCCACCCTCTGTAATCATCACGCATGGTAGAGGTGGGTCCAGCCTTTGCCAGCCCACAAAGCTGCCAGGTGACCTGTGGGTCCCTGCTGCCATCCTCTCCCAAGCACAAGGAGCTGTGTTCCTCAAATGTGCCACAGCAGGGCCCAGGGATATGAGCCAGGCTCTTGTGAGCTGACATTTCATCTCCCCACATTACCTCCTGGGCTCTGTGGTGGGGCTCTGTCCCCCCATGAAGGCACAAGGGTGTCCCCACAGTGGGTGAGCCAATCCCCAGCCCTGCAGTGAGAATGGGGCAGCAGGGGGACCCTGTCACCTGCAGAGTAGGAACGCACTGGGCACAGGTGGCACTGGGAGAGGGACAGTACTGGGAACAAACTGTACACTGGTGTAACAGCATCACATTGGCAGCAGAGGGTTGTGCCAATGCCCTGTGTCTGCTGCTGTGCTCATCCCTGTCCCTGCACCGTGCCAGCCCCAGGACAAGCAGGATCAGGAAGTGTAGTCAGTTTGCTGATCAGCCTGGCTGGAATGAGAGCAGCCAAGTGGCTTTGGCTCATCAGTTCCTAAACTGGTTTCCCCACCAGACAGACGGACAGACGCTGGGGCTGGCACACAGGAGACAGCAGGAATGTGCTGCTGGGCTTGGGGCAGGATTAGGCCCTGCAGTGCTGGAGGGGCTGATGCTGGGATAATGGAGCTGTGGCCACCAAGGAGGAGGAGACCAGTACAGACTCTGCTTGGTGTTGCATCCATGGGAAAGGTTTTCCCTCTCTGCTGAACACTACTTGTTTCTCTGCCAGACTTGATCATCAGGGATTAAACTTCTTTCTCTGCACATGCAAAGCCTCAGAGGGGATAGGAAAGGCACACCATGCTTGTAACACCCTCAGTAGGAAAACAAATAGGGTTTAAAATGCTGACACTGGCCTTTAGGGCACAGCGTGGGTTGTCATAGGAGCCCTCTCTCTCTCTTCCAGCCCCATCCTTGGGAAAGCTAATGGATACACAGGTAACAGCTCCTGGGATGCACTTGGCAGGCAGCTGAAGCAAGTTTTGGCAAGCAGCTGTTCAGGGTCAGACCTAAGGTCTCCCGCCCTTGGCATCCTCCTCTGCACTGGCCTGGGAAGGGTGCCAAAGCAGGTGTGGGGTGCGTGGGCATCTGCAGAGCACTGCTGGCTCGGCTCTCTGGACGGAGCTGGCTTGGGATGGAGCTCCTTGGCAGTGTCCACTCACTCCTGAGCCCTGGCAAACCAGTGGCACCGGGGATGCCCTGAGGGAAGTGGTTTGACACCCCTCCCACTCGGTGCACAAAGAGCGCGCCAGACTCGTGCAGAGCAGCTGCAGTAATCCAATAGCCCCTTGCTCCTGCTCCAGCAGAAACCATGGATGGATCATCCCCTGCCCTGCAGCCCGACTGACCACACTCCTGAGCACTGTCATCAGCTGAAGGCTCTATCCAATTCACCTGGTGTGACCATGGCAGCATCCCCAGAGCTGGTCTGGCACACGCTCTGGCCCACGCTCACTGCCTGAGCAGTCGCTGTCTCCCTTCCCTTCTCTAAAGCTGCAATTCAGAGCGAGGTTGGGCCTCACTGGGGAACTTCTTGCACTCGGTACAAGTTATTCGGAAGAGCAGGTGGCTGAGGGGCAGGCAGTCAGGGGTGGGTACCACCACGCCCCATTTCTGACCATTTACTGCTGCCCTGCACAGCAAAGGCAACAACGTTTCTCTCTTCAATCGGCTCCAGGCGGGCAGATTAAGCCGGTTGCGTTTCCTTGCAATAGTCACTTCTGCAAGGAGTGGGGCTGCTCCCAAAAGAACCAGCAGACATGCTGCAGGGTGTGAGAGATGCTGGCAGCATCCGGGAAGACATTCCACCGACCTGTGCAGGGCTGCACCAACAGCCGCGGCAAGGGCTTTTCCGCCTTCCTCTGAAGTGCGGCCGCGCTCCGCCTCGGGGGCATTCACATACTCCGGAGATGGACCGTAATGGACTGTAATAACACACTAAACACCACGATTTGTCGGTCCGTCACCTTTAAATAACAAATCTCCTTTCGCTTCCAAGCTACAGGAGCACTCAAGCATGGAAATGAGAATACTTCCAGGCTGAATGGCTGTCGTGCAGGGAGGCGAGGGCGGGAGCGCTGTCCCTGCAGCTCCTGGCAAGGAAGGAGCAGCCTGGCCCTGGGGCTGCCGCGGCGCCGGGCAGGACCCCGGAGCTCCCGCCTGCTTTCCGGGGGGCAGACGCTGCCCAGGGCCTCCCCGAACTGCAGGATGTGGGCTTTGCTTTGCCGGCAGCTCAGACGCCGCCCGGCTTCGCTTTCCCAAGAGGAGCCTCACAACCGCGGGCAGTTCCCAGTCTGTTCCCAGGCTGGTGTGGCAGGTGTGTCAGCACGTTGTCCCAGCCAGGGCTGGGGGACCCAGCAGTGCCTTAGCTCTTGTGGGGCTCTGCTGCTACCGAGCCCCTGCTTTGGGGTGCAGGGAGAGGGCCGTGGGTGCAACACTCACCACCCACTGGGAGGGAGAGCTGTGCGGGCTCCCCACAGAGAGAGAGCCATCAGAGCAACAACACCACATTCTATCAGAACAGCACTTAAAAAAATAATTTTAATGTTTTAAGATACATAATCTGTTTATTCCACAACAGGATCCCACTGCCTGAGCTAGCACAGGGGTTGGGAAGGGGCATGGCACATGACCCCACTCAGCAGGCGAGCGTGGGAGAAGGGATCAGTGCTTGTACAGGTGGGGGTAGCTCCAGCTGGCTCATCCCTGACCACACATTCACCTAAATCCAAAGCTCAGGCTGAAGCCAGCCCTGGAGAGGCACAGGCTGCACATTCCAGGTGTGCACACACTGCACAGCAGCATCCCCGTGCTGGGAGTGCCCTGCAGGCACAGCCCCAAAGAGACAGAGCCATCAGTACATTCTCCAGTTGATGCTCCACAGTAAGAAAAGTCATAAACCTTTTGCCTCTATGGATTCCACCAAACTGCTGCCTCCCTGTTCAAGAGCCTGGTCACTCCAGCAGCAGCAAATCTCAAATTAACCCTAATTTCCCCCATAGTGCTTGGAAACAACAGCCAAAAGTAGATATACTAAGTGTCCTCTGTGTGTGCTCCCAGTGAGGGAGCAAAGGCTTTCCAGAACACATCTAAAAGACAGTGTGGGTCCTAAACTCAAAAGGCAGATGCCTTTCCCAGTGACCAGGAAGTGTCACTACCAAGACAGGGACAAGTTAAAGTGCATTTTATCACCTGGTCAGAGCAGGACATGGAGACAACTCAAAGCCTAACAGTACTAAAAATGCTGGAAGTCACTAATCCCAGGGACCTTGGGTGCATGTCTGGGCTTTTCATAGGTACTGACGAGAGCAGAAATTATTTAAATGTAATCCTGAAAAACGCCATTTCCTTTTCTTGCTTTGTGGGGATATCTAAGCGATGTAAACAGCCATTCAAAACAAGGACCCTGCTGCTTCCAGGGAAACTCTGAGCACAGTTCCATGGACTATTTCCTCTTCAAGCGCCACTCACAACTCACCTTCAGAGCTTACTGTTGCTTGAGAATTATTTCTGCTTTAATTGTGTAAAACGACTGCTTTGCTCAGTTTGAGCCCATGTAAGGAGGCACCTGGAAAAGACAAAAGACTCTACATTGCTGAAGTGAGTTTGGCTCTGCCAGGTGGGCCCTTTCCACGGGAGCTTTCAAAAACCTCTTCATCCCAAACTAACCAATATTCACAAACCCTTCTACAGGAGAGAGCAATTTTTCTGGTCTAGCATCCATTGCCAGCAATGGACGCAGGGAATTTGGTCAAATTGGTCTGAAAAGCATCCTGGGAAGCATAGGAGTAATGGAAGCACTTGTAAACATCACCACAGCACATTACCAGGACGTCCTGCTTCAGCTCCTTGCGGCGATCTCCTCCAGACAGAGCGGAGCAGAGCTGACTCAACATGGCTTGGGAATTAAATACTCAATCAGTTCCCGGGCGGCTCGCTGTCCCCACTGCTCAGAAGGTGCTCTCGAGCAGGCAGTGGCACCCACAGCCCGTGGGACAGACCTCCTGGGTGCGAAACCACTCCATCATGTGGCTGGTGTGGCCCCCGTGTCCGCAGGTCAGGCAGAAGTTGGAGGAGCCGCGCACGGCCACGTGGCAGATGGCGCACTGGAAGGTGAAGCCCTTGCAGATGGCGCACTGGGTGCCGCGCACCTCGCTGCGGCAGTGGCTGCAGTACACGCCGAACTCTGCCGGAGGGAAGGCAGAGCAGAGCAGAGGGTCAGTGCTGGGATCACGGACAAAGCAGCCCTGCACACAGCCCCTTACACCGCCTCAAAGCTCCATCAGGATGGGAGGGCGGACGGTGTTTAGAGATCTTGGTTTGTTCTCCACACGCGATCAAAGGAAGGGGCAGCTGCAGCACTGAGGCACTGACGGCCCAGCAATTCCCCTGATGGCTACAGCTGTCTGCTGGAAATCTGAGATGGACTTCAAGCTTTGGAGACACTGACTCGTGAAGGCTTCCTGCTGGTCTCACCCACCTCTTACCACTATAAAGTGTCACTAAGCAAGCAAGAACAGCCTCCATTTCTCATCAGGGAGCCCACCTGATGCTCCTGTATCAGACTGTCAGCCAAGGAGAGGCAAAGGCAGTGGGTTAAGTCACCTGTTTTCACTCCAGTTACTCCCCAGAAGTTATCTTGGGTTACAAGGTGAGACTACTGCTGTTTCTCCGGCATCCTTCACCTGTCTTTCTCCCCCCAGGTCAAGCACATCTGTTTCTAGAGGTCTGTGAAGAAGACAATTTGGCAGCTGTCCTTAAGCTGGGCATCTACGCTGCTGGAAGTATTTTGGGACGAAAGTTCTCTTTACCTATTTGCTGGCTAGCTCACCTAGTTAGAGATCTTGCAATTTTAACGTAAGGACAGTTCAGTCCAGGATCAGAGATGAAGACAGGGCATCTCAGAGGGAATGAAGGACATTCACCAGCACAGAGCTGAGCATTGCTGGCATGGCAGTATGTGAATTTTCCAGCTTTCCTAGAGAGATGTTATAGTCTACAAAGCCCTTGAACCAACACCTGCAAGCCTTACCTCCACCCAGAACTGTGAAGAAGTCAAACTCACTTACTGGCACAGGTAGCCTCTGTCAGAGGTTAAATGCCACATTTGCTGTAACATTTCAGTAACCAATGGACACTTTATCCCTGTAGCAGGATGCTCTGCCTAAGCAGGAGTAAAACAGCTTGGATTTTACCTTACTCGCAAGCTATCAGTGATGGATTGAGCAGAGAGGGCCCTGCTGTTCTTAGTGTTGAAGAATGCTGAAACCAGCTTGATCACACTATCCTGAATTAGACCCATCACATGAACAGGTAAGGAAAATGCTTCCTCATCAAGCCTGGCATCAACAGGGATGTGAAAACCCTGGCAGGGAAGGGAGAGGCAGATGTTTACAGAAGAAGAAACCGAAGAGCTGATAGCATCTTACTCAAAAATAAAACACGTTCTGTTGAGCAGGCAGGACAACATTTTATCTAAAATTGTGTGACTGACAGTCAATCACTTCACACCATAAAGACCAGTTCCATTTTTAAATGGTGAAAATTTTTAACACACCTCCCTTAGGTGTGTGTGAAGATCCTTACCTTGGGTGGGGACACCCCTCAAGGTCACTCCTCAAAGCTCAATGAGAGAGATTTGCCCATGGTCATTGCTATGGATGGACATCACAGTCTACCTGATAATTATTAAGCTAGCTTTGATATTATTTATTTAATAACCAGTGTACAAAGTTATTCTTTGTATTCTTTAATACAAAGAATAACTTTGTATTTCTAGTTTTAATTTTCTATACTGTGTGGTAAATAATTCTGATTAAGGCCTTTTTAGTCTAATGATTATCATTATATTCATCAATTTAAATAAACCCTTCATATTTTATTCATATTAAATAATTGATTTGCTATCATTAATCCTGTGGAACGATTTGTACCAAGGTTCAATTACACCTATATAATCACTTTAAACCCTTGTGACTCGCTTGGGTGGGTCTCTCTGATAAACTTTGTCCATTCCATTCATGACACATCCTGCCCTGCAGATTGCACGTTCCTAAACTCCCAAGGCAGAGCTGTGGCTCTGCCTGAGCAACTGGTTCAGACACTCACCAATTCCCTTGTGGGGATCAGGAGGACATGAGACAAACTTCAGAACCTCGGCCCGCTTCTCTCGCAGACCCCAGCGATAAAGGATTTCTCCATAGCACTTCTTAAAATCATCAAATTGCTGAGTGTTAGCAGGATCCAGCAGCCTAGAGAAACAAACAGGCTTGTAACTGACTGACTCTCAGAGATTGCAATCCTCTTTCCTGTGATAGCTATGCAGCCAGCTCACATTGCTGGAAATGCAGCAGGGCACTTCCCACAGGTTGCTGAAACATTGCTGAACACAAACTGCTCTGGCCTAGATTTGTTCTACACTCCAGGGTGCACACTCCATGGGTGGACTGTCCTTTGGTACCCCCACCATGGCCTCTTAGGGATGCATCATGTGTAATCCCAGCACCACTGACCTGCAGGATGAAGCTTCTTCAAGTAATTGTGTGAATGACAAGGTCCAGGGACAGGTGTGGTACTGCACAGCACCAAGAGACCTGGCCATGGAGTTCCACATGACTGAGACACAAGTAAGGCAGCTCTGAATACCCCCAAGGCATGTGATAACCTACCTTTTGTTTTTCTCATGCTGGTCCTTCTCCCTCTCCCGGGGATCAGGATACGTTAGGTTTCCGTAGCGGAAGTCATCTGGAGAAGACTCGCACCAGGGAGTGGAGGTCTGCTCTGTGTCTTTGTTTGCTGCAAACACCAAGAGCCTGTGAGTGCATCTCCCCCCTCAAAACTGCAATCAGGAAGGGACATGAAAAACCACAGGTTTGCACCCCCGCGTTTCAGTCCTATCTCTGTCCTACCACCCTCTGCATTCCAAACACTGCCCCGCCTCCAAGAACTACACGCCAGCCTCTACTTGCCAAGTGCTTCTACTACACTTTTGGTGAAAGGACTTAATGGGCATCACCAGACAGAGAAATCTGATGTGGACGAATCCCTTTTGCCTTCTGCTTTAGACAAAAAGTAACCAGGCAATCAATCCCACGGAGTTTGTTTGGGAACATTTTCCCAGGCAGACTTGGGTTTCCCTTTCCTAGACAGGGAGGACTCTCATCACCAGGACTGCTGTTACGTAAAGGGGCCTCTGCATGCAAGGTACTGCCCTGGGGGCAGGGAGATGACTGCTAATAACTGCTACAATAGATTATTAGCTTCCCTAACCCCCATTCTCTCCTCTTCACCATGTCACACGTGCCTTGATATCACACTGAAAAGTTACAGCTATGGTGCTAACAGGGCTGATGCTGCCCCAGGTCGTGTATATCACTAGGAATCTGCCAAAAGTTTCAACTCTGACACCAGAGCCCCCCTTTGTCACAGTGAAAAACCTCTGTGGATATTCACAGCACCAAGAACCCAGCTTTCCCACTGCTGCATTTCTTTCAGTGAGAGAAGAAAGGCCAGCATTGCTTTTCCCCCAAACACTGTGGAATTAGCCAGCTGATGACATTTTGAGGCCATTTTTGATACTCATTGAATGAAGTATCTACTGAAGTCAGAAGGTGCAGGACTGCAGGAGCCTCAACAGAGATACGGCAAGGCCAGCTCACTTCCAGCCACGAAGTCTCACCATCCTGGCCAAACCCCACAGAGCTGCTTTGGTAGAGCACATCTGCAATCAGCCAGTACTAACTCCCTCTTTTCCCCACCACAGGAGCCATCTAAAACCTTGGCTGGAAGGGTGGGAGATTCCTTTATTTACTAGCCAGGTCTCATACCTATGCTCCAGCCTCCAGTGCCAATCCCAGGATCTGACATGCTGGAACAGGAGCCAGAGGAAGTAAAGCTGGGCTGTTGAGGGGGAAAGGAGAATAAGTCATGTCATCTATGTGAGAGACATTCAAAGATATGCAAGACAAATGGGAAAGAAATGGTGATCGTACGTATCGGCTGTGAGAGGCCAGGTTGGAGGCACGCTGAGGAAAGGGGACACAAGAGTTGGGGCACCCCTGGAGCCTGGACTGGGCTTCAAACACACTGCAGAGCATGGCCAGGGTCTGTACATCATGGAGCTGTGAGTAATGAGCCAGCCTGGGAAATGAAAAGACAGTGTGAGACTGGGCAGCATTCAGTAGCAAAACCATTGAGACTCCAGGGCAGCTAATTTCAAGCCTGTTGCACGCATGGGTTTGGGTGTCATGACTGCCCACAGGAGACATGTGCACTGAGGGACTGGGTTGGCTTTTCTGTCACACCTTTAAGGAGCCAAGTTCTCCTTCTGAAAACGCTCATGCCCTAACTGGTGGGAGAAAGATGGGAGCTCCGGGAATTCAGCAGTACTTGGGCTCTGATGTTAGACTCACTCCCAGCCACAAGATCTTTTTGACAAAGCCCTCTGAGTGCACGTGTCCTGCACTTGGATCACAAGGCAAAAGGCTGCTGCAGGTTTTCTAGAAGGCTAGGAAGTTTCCAGTTTGCTCTGAAGGCTGAGAGTGATAAAGAACAACCTGTGCCGTGCTCCTACTGCTGCCATGCAGCAGGAGAAAGCAACAGTATGGAAAGCACAGCACACAAATCCTGCACTTCCAAACAGCATGGATTGACAAATAATATCAGTCACAAATTATGTAACTCCTGAGCAGATTCACCTGGAAAACATTTGTAGCTAACACTTGGCTTTGTGGCCACTGGAACAATTTCCCAATAAAGCTAGATGACAACAGGGAATCTGAAGGTGAAAAGAAGGTGCTGCACCAACAGGCTCATCTAGTGGGGAGCAGGAAACTCAAATCTCCAAGTCAAGCATTGTGGGCATGGAAAGCAGAGCTCCACCTGTGTCTGGCCTATTGCTCAATGCTGGCCAAGGAAGATCTGAGTGATAGGTGGAAGGTCAAGGGCTGCCGCCTGTATGCCAGAAACACATTTGGAGTTTCCCTTTGTGATGCATCACAGGCTTGAGGTGGGCAAAAAATCCATGCTGTGGCACTACCCCAAACCTGAAATGACCCCTTACACATAGATAGTTATGGAGGGCTCTGCTTCAGCCAACCAATCACCAAGCCCTCTCCAGTATTCAGACACGTACAAGGACTCCAGTAATTGACGTCCAAATGGATGTTGTGCCCAAGGTATCTCTAAATCTGGGTCAGACTTCGGTCCAAGACAGAGATCAGTGGCTACCATGGCCAGTGACCAAACCTGGTAGACAGGAAGGAAAAGCAGCAAAGCTACAATTAGGATTAACCACACTCCCAGGGCATAGGTGTGCATAAATTCACACACAGACAGACAGATAATAATGGAGCTTGTCTGGTTGTTTGTTTTTTTTTTTTTTTTCCCCTCTGACAGCAGGGAACAGTTTCGGTCTCTGTGTCACAAATAATGCAGAGAATAACACAAAACCAAAGCTCTCCCTGTTCCACTCACTTTATGTTTGAGTTAAATGCAAAAGCAGAGCAGTCTATAGTCTATTAGTGTATTTTATAGTCACCAGTCTCAAAAGGGTTTAGATTTGATACAGTTCTTGGGTTCAGAGATGTCTGAACCCAAGAACTGGTGGCAGAAAGTTTACTGGTAAGTCATTATTTGCATGAGAAGTATCTTTTCATTAGTGGTATCACTGAGCACTATTCTCCTAATGCAGCCTGGCACAAACAGGACACTGTTTGCTTTTTCTGTTTCAGAAGTTTAACCACTTCACATGAAATTTCTCCTTCATTTATCATCCTCTACTCTGAAAATGGCTCCATCTTGTCAGTCTCTATACCACTGATCTAGGACTATTTTTTTCTGCTGTGCATTTAAAAATGGGACAGTTAGAATATGCCAAGGAAAAGGAAAGCTCCTAGTTTAGCATGAAAAATAAAGCAGGAAAGGAAAAAGAGCAGGGAGCTAAAAAGACAGCAGAAATCAGAGAACTGACAATGTGGACAATAAAGAAAAACCACATGCACCAAGTACAAAGAACAAACACCCAGAAAAAGCAGACCCAAAGCTGCTCCCCATGAAACCAGAGAGAGCAACAGAAGAGAAACTGAAACAAGGACTGGGCTGAGTAAGAGAGTGCACAGAAAGCAAACAGGAAAGACACCACTTCCTACACTGCTACAGAGCACATCAATGTAACTTGCAATTCAAGCCTGTATGTCTGCTGGGAGCTGCACTACAGGCTGGAGTTACAGGGGACAGGGAAAACCAAGCAAGAAACAAAGTTATCTCAGAGAAATCTTGCTGAAGTTACTCCACCCAAACTCTGGTCCAATGTGGACAAACCAGACTGCAAGAGGAAGAACAGACAAGGGGGAACTAGACCTACTTTCTCTCTGCTGGTGTAGCACAACCCACCAAGAAGCAAGAAAACAGCCTGAGTCAGCTTCTGCTTAGATCAGGTAAGCCTATGCATGTTGCCTACCCAGCTCTAGAAAGAACCAAATGCTGAGGAGATGGGCACAGCTCCTGTGGCACTGCCAATTCCCATCCATTTCAGGTGTTCCCATGTCCTGTCAAATGTTCTGCCTGTTGCAATGGACTAATCACAGGGAAAAGCGTGGGCCACAACAGCCATTTTTCTCCTTTTTTTAGCTGAAGGCAAATAGCCAGCTCCATTTTGGGGCCTCTGGGCTCAGGCTCTCTTGGGAGAAGATAGCTGCAGTTAGTACCCAGTGCCAGCAGAATGCTAAACAATGGGAACAATTACATAAGTACGAAAAAAATTATGGATCAAAATGCTGACAGCAGCTAGGCAACTCTGTGCACAGTTACTCCATTTGATGACTCAAAAGCAGGCTGCATTCCTCACTTTGCCTACAGGAATTCCCTGAAAAATGTGTTTCACTCAGTTTGGCAAAGGGCACAAAAGAATCTGTGTGCAGTCCTGGGAAGGAATCTCTCAATTGAGATTGGTCCTTCAAGGAATCTCTCGCCCAGAGTCAGCGAGGTGGGGACCACCTTGGCAGCAGTTCCACATGCCAGGTTCACCACCCAGGGACTCCCTGACAGAGCTGCTGAACCCCAGTGGCCTTGGGGTGCTGGTGACAGCACAAGCCACTGGAGGGTAGCACAGCATTCTGAGGAAGAGGTTGGATTCCATGGCATACCTGTACGAGATCCCTCCGCCCCACAGCCAAGGCTGAGGCAGCATTCTTCTGGCAAGTCTCCTGGATGTTATTCACGTTCAGTCTGAAAAGAAAGGAGGTAACTCAGCTCTGACTGGCACATTACCTACAAAGGTGGGGAGGAATGGGGGAAGGGGGAACACGGCTCTGGCAGCAGTGAGCAGCCCAGACCTCCTGATCAATATGAGCCTCTTTGCATGGCCAGGATCCCATCCCATCCTTCTCTGTCATTCAGGGATCACTGTCATCCTCCTCCCACTATTCATTTTTGCTAATACACCACACATTGAGTTCAACTCCATACTAGCTGGGATTGATTCTAAGCAACACCACTTCCAAGAGGATATTAGACCAAACTTCTGCCAGGGTGTCACGAAGTCCAGAATCATTCTTGTCCCTAAAAGCTGGTGCCATTGGCTACATGGTCCTGTTCCCATTCAGCCCATGAGTCTGCTCTGGCTGACTCAGAGGGAGACAGGGGCATACTGGGAAGAACCAGGCTGGCTGGGGGATAACACACCCACTGAGTGAAGCCTTGACAGGCTGGCAAGGTGGGCTGAGGAAGCCCATGTGTGCTTTTCTGCCTGTCATCAGAAATCTTTCCAATACTTAACTGCTTGAGATTTTTACAGTACATGGAAAAGGGGTCAGGCTGTTTACACAAGATGTCCCAAGAGGAAAGGTCCAACAGGTTTTTCAAAAGAATATCCTTTTTAATAACATAGAAAGGGAGAGAAAGAAGGGTTTTTTTCATCTCTTTCTTTCCTCATAAGAGAAACCTGCTTCTTTCCTGAATGTCCATAGACTGGAAATTCCGTTAAGGACCAGCCAGTATTACCAAAGCTAAGAAAGAAATTCAGGAACAGAGGTTTTGTAACCATGTGATTTAGAAAGTCCGGAAAAAGGAAGCCCTTTATTAAAAAAAACCAAAACCAACAAAAACACAAAAATGCCCACAGAACTCCATCCTTTCTAGTAACACAGAACAACCTGCACAACAAACCTGACATGTACAACCAAGACTCCAAGTGGGAACATATCAAACACTTCTGAAATTAAAAAGCTTTATGAGCTATTAATAGTTTTACAGAATGAAAATGTGCATTTACTGAGATTTTTAAGCCTGTCCATTTAACATGAGATTTGAAAAAGAATTTCTACAGATAATTTCTCTCTTTAGCAAGCGAAAATCAGAACCTGTAAAATTTGCAGTGATGATGTTGATTCAAACTCTGTTGACCACACCTCATCACAAATTTCTTCCCTCACACTTTTCAGATTTACAGGAGACAGGTCACCTCTCACAGGCAGAGGGATACCAAAAAAAGCAGTGAGGCAAGAACAGAGGAAGAAGGTAGAGAAACATTCACGGATCCATGTTGACTGATGCCAGGACTAAAGCACAGCAATGCCAAAGACAGCTACTTTCATTTGGAAAAGGATGACAGCCCACATATACTCACATGTAGAGCTCCCCCAGCAGCTTGTGGACAGGCAGCAAACAGGAAATATCTTGGATAATAACTTTCCCAGCAGCTTTGATGGGTCGGTTGTTGGCATCTGTCCCCTCTCGTTTGCTTTTCCACCTCCTTGATTTCTGCAGAACCAAAGGCAAAGTGTTACCGGGGAAGAGGACAGTAGGCTGGTTGGGACAGGGAACAAAGCACTAGGGTCAGGAATAATGCAAGCAGCACCCAAACCTGCCTTTCAGAAGGCTCTGTGTTACCCTGGAAAATATCCATTATATGCCCAGGAGAACAAGCATCTCCATCTGTAGGAAGTGAAAAGCAGGTCAAGGCAGCGAGCTCAAGGTCAAACTCACTCAAAAAGTACTTTGTGAGTTTCCCCGTGAAAGCCAATAATAGAATAAATCAGCACTGGGATGCCAATCAAACCTGGGCAAGTTTGGCAGGAGGACCATTCAATTCTCATTCTCTGGGAACCCTCTGCAGATAAACCACTGCTGACTTCAGCCAGCGTCAGCACAGAGACATGCTGGAGGCAGCTGCTGCTCGCCCTTTGCCTCAGGGCAAGCCCACAGCTCCAGACCGTCTCCAGGTTTGCCCTCTCAGGGTGAGAACGGCCCTGTTCCGTGCCAGCACAGGGCTCCCACCTCCTGCTTTATCAACAGCTTCAAACAAACAACTGGTAGATGATAAAGCAGGGCCCAAGTTTTCCTAGCAAGGATCCCTAGCTACCATGCTCACAGCTACTTACAGCTGGCTCAGGATGTAAGAGGAGGGAGAAGAAAGGAGAGGAACCAAGAGGAGGGAACAGAAACAAGAAGCCAAGATTCCCAAATACTCCCTGTAACAGATACAGAGGCCATCTTAAAGCCAAGCTACATAAAGCTACCTTGGCTGTGTGAAACACTGTAGAGTATCTGTCTGGTATCCTGGCCTCCTCCAGCTCCTTGCTTTAGGAGAGCGAGGAGGAGGGATGAGAGGATGTGTGGCAGCACAACAGGCAGAAGGCACTGGAGCTCTACTGAAGGAAGTGCTGGCTGCTAGGCAGGGTTGCAATGCTTTGCAATGCTGCTCTCCTATGGTGCCTTCCCTCACTGCCACACAGAGCCAACGGAGCCACACGGAAGCGCCCGGGCATGCTGAGTTAGGGAGGCTCTCCTGGGACACTCATGCTGGGGCTTCCCACACATCTCATCAAAGCAGAACAGCCCCTCTCTCAAGGGGCCAGCAGGGCAGCCCTGTGCTGATGGCTCTGCAAGGCAGACACAGCTTACACAGGCTCACACTGGTGCTCCTAAAGAGCAGACTAGGATACAGGAAAGGCAGGACTTGGATCTGCAAGCAGGATCACCTTTACTGTGGGTGTGAGGCCAGCTCTGGGCCAAATGGCTTTTGACCATGACCAGGCAGTCCTGTGAGGACCTGGGCAGGCTTATCAGACACAAAATGTCCTTAAAAAACTACTCATGACCTTAAGAAATGCCACTGCCTGCCTGGCCCAAGCTTAGGCCAGTGTGCTGAGGAGGTCTTGCCATGCTGAGCATACTACTAACACATGCCACAAGAAGCAAAAAGGGTGAGCTCCTGAAGCTTCTCTGAACACTGCACAACTGAGGATCAGAGGCTCCAGCCTGACAGTCAGTGAAGAAGGCATCTCAGCCTCAAAGGAGCTGAAGGTGGGTTGTTCCAGGGGTGCCAATGTTACATAGCATCACCATTCCCCTGATCTTCTACCACCCCTGAGTAAAGAGGAGCAAAGCTTGCATGGTGCCCAACATTCAGAGGGGTGAAACACTGGTAGAAACAGGGCTGTCAGCATCCAGTGCTCTGGAAAAGCTGACTGACTAGTTCTCTGCCACGTCTATTCAAATCCTCATTCATCCCAGAGGAATCTGCCTGCAGTACTTATCTGTCCCCTGAAGCTGAAGAGCACTACGCAGTGGAAGGTAGCTAGAATGGGGTCAGGTGGGAGACCCACCTCTCTTCAAGGTCCCAAGGACCCACCTCTCTTCCTGGTCCTTCAGCTCCTAATCAAGGCACAGTCTGGAACAGTTCTGCGTCTCTTGACATTGGGCAGGCTAATCCTGTTTTGATAACACTAAAAGGTTAGCTGCCAACCCTATGCTGAAGGATGTGGGCTGTACTACAACAAGGTTCCCAAGTAACAGTGGCACTTGAGTACCTCATTCTGCCTCAGGACAGCAAATGCTGTCTGCCAGGTGTGGTGAGGAGCTGCTGATGCTACCAAAATCAATATGAGTGAAGCTTGGGAAACCCAGCACAATGACATGCCAGGAGGAAAGAGCTCAGGCACTGTCCTGGAAGGGCTACCAGGCTTCTCACAGCAAAAGCTGTTATTTGTGCTGTGTCTGAGTGGGCATTTGAGCCCAGACTTGCAGACACAGAACCACATTCTGCAGGGCTATCAACAAGAGCTTCTGGAGCCTGGTAGGTAATTTGGAGAGCAACTTGCCACCTCCTGGCCATCTGTAAGCCAGCTGCCCCCAGGACTCACAGTCGATGGAGAGCTCCCTCTACCCAGTCTTTGGGAACAGATTCAACCTGCTCCTGCCCCCTGCAAGAGCAGGCTGAAGAAGCCTCCCAACAAGCATTTCAAGACTACAAACATGGACAACACATATCATTTTTCACAGGCAATTGGGTATTTTTCTTTTTTTTTTTTGGGGAGGAGAATGACAACAAATGAAGATGAGAATGAAAAAGAGCTCTCATGAATGGTTTCCACTGTTTGCTTTTAGCATATCACCATAGAAATGGAAACATTAAATATACCAGAACCCCCTGAGAACTTGGACTCAAACCAAAACTGTCCTGTTTTCTTCCTTTTAACTCTGCTTATTTACTGGCAAAAAAGGAAGCTCTATATCTTTACCAGTGCAGCTCCAGGAATGGAATTAGTTGATGGCCACAGGCCCCGTCTGTACTACACTTCCATGCCCACCATTTCCAGCCTCTAAAGCTGTGACAGAAAAAAGTTGTAAAGCTACACGTAGAGTCCCATTAAAAAAGCCTGGGTTTTTTGCAATTCTGGCTTACCTCAGCTACAGCAAGTCAGAGTTAGAAAAAACCCACAATCAGAAGTATGGGAACCATCACAGATGGGGTAAAGTTCATCACCATTTACAGCAGAAGTTCTACTTTGAATCCAGTAATCGCTGGTGTTAATTACAGGAGTAGCTCTCCACCAGGCGGTATTTGAGCACATTTAACAGGGATTACCAGAGACAAAGAAAGCTTTAGGTTGGGTTTGTCTGGCCAAGGTCCACCTCCCTCCCGTTCCACCATTTCTGCCAGGAGCAGCTCCCACTATGGTGTAATCAAAAGCTGTCACCAAGGCTCAGGGGCATTAGGGCACAGCAGAAAACACATCTCTTCCTAGGGGCTGGAGCACAGGTCAGGATGGGGAGCAGGGAACATAACTGTTGGAGCTGAAGCAGGAAACAACATGCACCAAGATAGCTGCTGGCAGCTGAAGGACATAGGCACAGGTCTTCTGCACTGCCCACGACATTTCTAGCTCTTTCTGAAGCCTAGAATCCATGCCAAGGAGATCTGCACCTACCCAGCTGCTCCTCAGTTTAACTAGAGGAAGACACAAAAGAAAATGGCTACAGTGATAAGTAAATTAAGACTCATCAGTTCCTCAGAGCACGAGAAGGAAAGAAACCAGAGCATTTATGGCAATCATGGGTTGGAGGTGACAGCAGGGAACAGCACTGGATAATGACTAAAAAAGCCAGCCTGCACCTGCACTACTATACCCAAGGCTGTAATTTGCTGCAATCTGAGGTGATAACGATGGCAGTAAATGGGTTACATGTAGAAACAGATAGCCCAAGAATAAGCCACCAACTGCTTTGTAGCAACCACCATGATCACTGCATACTCAGCAGCAGGAGTTGCAAAATGCTGCCCGCTTGGAAAGGATGCTGAACACTTGGGTGTGTGTGCCTCTGGATCCTGCTGAGGCAGGCAGTGCTTTAAGCAGGATCCTGAAATGTAAAGTGCCTGTTTCACATCAGCATATGCAAAATTTCAGGGTTTGTGGTATAAACTGGCATTAGTAGGGCAAAGGTAAAGGTTGTGAACAGAAGAGAACAGACTCAATGCCAAGAGATTAAGCTGCAATAAGACATGTACAAAACAGTTAAACCTGCTCAAGTCAGGTTCAAGCTGCTTCTCATTTATTTTTCTAAAATAAAATGCAAAAATTGCTTCCTCCCTGTAGAATCCTATGCTGCTTTATTCTGAACAACTGCCTACAGATTAACTCCCCCGTGTGGCTCATGCAGCACTGCCTGGATTTTCTCTTCAAAATAATTAACATTTACTATTTCCAGCATCTCCCACAGTATCAGGCACCTGCCATAAAGGTGCTAAAAAAAATCCAAGGCCCTTTTGAGTCAAGTGCCCCACAGCAGGAATATTTCTTTATAGCTTCCATCAATCAGTAGTTGGCACCTGCCCTGAAGCATGGGCACTTCAGAAGAGGAGGCTAGAAAGAAAGAGGAATTATTGCTTCTTGTAAACTTGCTGAACTCTTGCTTCCCCAAACACCTTGAGCAATGCTGAGCTTTTCTTCCAGAAGGAAAGCATGTTATTTGCACTAATAACCTATGCCTCTTCTTGTGTATGCCTGTGTCTTCACCTTAGGCACTGCTGCCCCCTTCAGAGAGTCAGTTTAGCCTCTTTCAAAGGTTATCCACAAATACAATCAATCCTTCAAGGCTTGGACTAACCCCTGTAACCCTTTTAAATGTGCATTACTGAAAATTATAACTTAATCACATCACTACTTGCTCTTCCTTCCAGGACAGTGGTAAGGGAATTAAACCACAGCCTTTGTGCTCTGTAATTTACCACACAAGCTGGCAAGTTCATTGCTTGATTGTCTTTCTTTCAGTCTGCCTCCAATTCAAGATAGAACTTCATTTCTTGCCTCTGCTGCTCACAAGGCTCTTTGCAAAAAGCCTTGATGGAGTCAGGTAAATTACTTCTGGTTTCTTTCACCTATTATTTACTAGTACAGTTTTAGAACTCTTGCAATTAGGAAAACTTGATCCTATTATACCAAGTTAAATCAGGTGTTACAGGATTCTGTTTTATTCCCTGCTGTCTTATGAAGAGATAGCATGAAGGGCAGCAGCTGTGAAAAAACAGTTGTTCATGCAGACATTAAGACAAACAGACTTAAAGAGATAATCTTTAAATTGAAATGGAATTTTCTGAGCTTCGTCTATGCTTGGAAGATGAGTGATGAAATAGTAATTGCCCACATGTACAGCACAGCTTGAGCAATCCTGAGATCAAGAAGATGATGATAGAATGAATGATGTTGGAGTTTGAGGGACACGTGGACCTGACTATCAGAAAACAACTGTCAAAGCAGACTTGGCAGGGCAGGTGCCAGGAGGAGGGAGTACCTGCCAAGGTGGCTGAAGTGGCTGAAGTTGCCACTCCAAATAAATGCAGTGGTGCAACTCCAAGGGCTGGGAGAAGATCACAAGTTAAGAAGAAATTGTATTTTTTGATCCAGGAAATAAGACTGTGTGATAGATTGCACTGAGAAGTGGCAGTTCATTTTAATGAGATGACAGATTGTTGTCAGAAGCTCAACCAGTTTGCTTCTTCCACAGCTCTTAAGTGATCTTGTCTCCCTCTCCAGCAAGGCTTTGTCTTTTCAGAAATTAGGTGCTCTAATGTCAGTCTCATCAATTGGTAGATGATGTATAATAACCACTCAGCTCCTCTACAGTGCACTCTGTATCTAAGAGGTCAATCTCTTCTTACACTTCAAATTACCCCTTGGCATCCTTTCCTGACCGCAATGCCAGGTGAAACAGGCATCTTGTAGGTCAGTAATTGCTCCTTGCAAACTACTGTCTGCTCCTGCCCACTTACACCTTCATCTGCTCTTGTGAAGCCCTAGGCCCTGCGTGGAGTGCGAGTCCCCCAGCTCTGTGCAGGTTACTCAAAGGCAGGCAGGTGGCATTTTATTCTTGGGCCCTTGGGCAGAAGACAGGGTCATATCAAGGACAGTATTAGCACAGCACACAGTACCGGGAAGTCGTTAATTGCTTGTATGGACCAACGCCGCCGGGCAGAGCGAGGAGACATCTGTACGCGAAAACATTATACCCAGGAAAAGGGAAGAAAGACACCAAGAAAATTAAAGACAAAGGTAAATAAACTGAAATGAAAAGTGCCCTGAACCAGCAGAGTAAAAGATACTGTTCCCAATGGCCCTGGTACACAACGAACAGTTGCAAACCACAATCCCCACTTTCACCCTCACACAATCGTACACAGCGCTACCCATGGCTCTGCAGAGCAAGGGCTGCTGTGTCCGTGCCCAACATCAGCCTCTAGGGAAGACTTTGGCAAACACAAAGCTGAATAAAGTCTTCCATGTGGATTTGTATTACTGCAAGAAGCACTGAGCTGCTTCATGTGACCTTGTTCATACCATGAATTGAGCAGAGGACAACACCTAAGTGCCCCACACGCCTAAACTCCGAAGTTTTACTCCTCTTGCCTGAAGAGGAAGGCAGCTAAGTGTAAACTGCATCAATTTTAATACAGCTATTCAGTGCCATGGCACAGATATCTGCAGGAAGCTAAATAGACACTCCTGCTTACTCAGATTCCCTTTAACATCCAGCATCCTCCAGAACTTCATTCACTGGAACCTGCTGTAACTGTTCACTTTCACTTTAAACAATAAAAAACCATATGTCAGGATATTAGAAGGGATGTAGAGACACTGCTACTTGGCAGGGCCATGTGGGTATTTTCATAATGGGTTGAGAAACTCATTCAGATTGAGTGAGTAATCAAATTCACTGACTGACTATGCCACATAGCTCCAAAGTAGGCTTTCATTAGGAACTTGATTGCAGTAGGTGCTCAACACAGTATTACAGCAACAGCAAATGGAATCTTTCAAAGCACATTAGTGTACACTCACTTGAAAAAAATTTTTGTGTACAGATCTCTAAGAGTCAACACAATAAAAGGGGATATTTGGGTCAGGTACAATGTACTTTGCATCTGTTTTCAGTTGATGATAGACAGTGAGGACCATCAACCATGCCTTCAGCCTCTACATCCCTTTGCATCTCACTGCTGGGAGAGCCCTACAGCCAGGAAGCCAAGGCTGGCTGCAGGGCCCCATGGAAAAAGAGAGGAGAAGGCTGCAGCCATGTGCTACAGGTTCCTCCAGCAGGCCTCATAGAGAAGGAGAAAAGGGTTAGTTGAAAGAAATTCAGTATAGTGGAAAACCAGCAAAACTAAGCTCAGTTCCCTGGTGGGAAGCATAAGGACACCCCTGTCACCACACCCAGGTACAGCAAGGCTGAGCAGTCCCCAGGTCCCCGCTGGCATGACCCTCTAATTGCAGGAGAGAAAAAGAACTCCATGGCACCTTCTTTAAGAGACACTCAGGTTCAAAACACTGACATTGCCATGGTACAGATAAAGCTCCTCCTTTCTGCTGACTACTGCTCTTCAGTGGGGTTTTTTTCAGGAGTGAAAAAGAGGGAGGAAGAAAGGAGGAGTGTGCATGTGTGAATAAAAAGTGAGAAAGATCTATATATATATATATGTGTGTGTGTGTGTGTGTGTATGCATATATATATATATATATATACATGTATTTAAATGAGCACAGAAAGGCTCAGTGCCAGATTTAGTTTCATTTTGGCTTACTAAGGAGCTCTCTGCTGGAATCAGCAGCTCCCCTGCCTTTATGGGAACATGACATCTTTCCTGTCTAGCAATGGACAAATTCCATTTGTTTGCTAATGATAGTGGATGCCAGTGGTTGCTACACTGGATTTAAATACTTGGTTATGACTGATAAATTCAGTTTTGGGGATGAATTTTTCTGATACCACAGTTTAATGCACAACTTTTATTTAATGCAAACATAAAATCCAAGCTTCAGAGCAAGGAGTTAACTAAACTCAGACTCTGGGCTTTTTAAAAACATCACAATGAAATAACAAAAATATGTAGCATTGATCTAACAGAGGCCATGACATCAACTCCTGAAGAATCAGAAAACCTTTGCTGAAGGGAGACACAGGCTTTTGGGTTTTTTTTTTTTTTTTTAAATACTATTTTATCTGCAAGAACATTTGAACCAGCTCCCTGCTAAGGTCCTTACATTTATTCCAGCATGCGAGGAGATAGCTCGGCAGGGGAAGGGGAACACAGGAATTTCCCTTGGCTTTCAGCAGACATGGCTGCACACATGCTTGTTCTCCTGAATTCTTTTACCCTGTGACAATAATCTTCTTGCCATCAATATAAGGGCTGGGGAGACAGGTCACATGAAATTGCAACAAGCTGGTTCCACATGTTATTTTTAGCCTTGTCTGTCATCTTAGAGAGGCTGTGTGCTGGGGACAAGCCTGCTGCAGAGGACAGAGGTAGCTCTTTAAATAAACTCTCCCACAAAGGCTAGGACAGGCTATAGTTCTATTCTATAATTCCAGGCAGCACCATTTTTTCTTTTAATCAAAAAAAAAAAAAAAGCTTGCATGGGGAAAAAAAAAAAAAACAAAAAACAAAAAACAGGATGGGAACTCAGAGTCTTCTGGGGTCTGTAGGGAAGCAGAACTTGCACTGGGGACAGGGGCTCTCCTGCAGCTGGGAGGTGTAATGACATCATGTAAGCAGGACACAGCCCCAGAGACAGGGTTGGCTGTCACACCCAGCACCACCAGAAAAACAAGACTTGTCTCAGTGCCCAGGAAGGATGGGTGTTCAAGGCTTTGACTTCTTCTGCTCCTGGGACACAAATTCCCAAACTCTTCTGCCAGCAGAGTGCAGACAGCTTTTAGCTTTCCCTGGGTTACCTGGAATCTCTTCACTGCTGCAACAGGTTCATGTCCTCTGCAGGGACAGCGAACAAACTACTCAATGCCCCAAATTCTGAGGCTCCCAGTGGAAGCTTACTGCATTTTTGCAAGCCATTTCACCCCCTGCTGAAGCACAGTTTGTTTCTAACAATCTGCTAGGCTTACTGCTCCCACAGCATCTGATCCAGGCACAGCAGCCCTCATACCTGCTTTACAACTACCCTGTGGCCATCCTACAATTACAACAGGTCTTTCCCACCACCCACCATGTCCCAGAAGGAAACAATCCCACTCTTCTCCAAAGCCTCATAAACAGGAACAGCAAAACCTGCACCTAAACCAGAATTATGTGGATTGGAAGGTCTTCAGAGAATCATGTAGAAATTATTTTTGTTTAATAAAAAAGAGACACCTGAAATAGAAACAACCAACCACATCCCATAGTCCAGGAGAGGTTGGCAGTAAGCTGCAGAGAGACACAACCCTCTGCAGTTATATGTATCAGGGAGTACCCAGAACAGCAAGAGCTGCCTACATGTACCTATCTGTAGACTACAACTTCTTAAAGGGTGAAATTTTAACCCTACACAATGCAAAGAGAGGCAGCATAATGTACTGAAGGGAACTGTGATGGTCAGCACACAGAAACATCAAAATAAGCAGGTCAAATGCTAGAGAGGATGAGTAAAGAAGTTACTAATAGCAGATAAATCCACTTGACAGAGTTGCCTGTAAAAAGATGTCTTTTTGAGAGAAATACAAAGCTTCTGTTATAGCAATGCTAAATGAAAGGAAAACAGATCATGAGAGCTGAAGTGTTGGGAACAGTGTTTTGGTGTGGTACTTACCCTTTCTTTGTAGTAGAAGGAGCTAATGGAGACCTGCTCCTTCTCACTGCGTGTTGGGCTCCCACTGTACAAGCGCAGGTTGCCCGGAGTCTCCGTGCGGATCTTCATTGGAGTAATGAGGCCACTGTGGTACGCTGATAAAGCTGACAGAGACCTGGAAGAAAGGGAATGCACTTCCAGGGCCTTTTCCTACCAAAACGTCCTGCAGCTCACACTGACATCTCCACCAACCCAAGCTGCCAGCAATGGTGCCACTGTCTGGAAAGAAGTCTCTGCTGAGAGAGGTGTAAGGGCCCAGGCACTCTGCACTGAGGGCACAGCTAACACTGGAGGGGACTAGCTCCAATGAAGGACCTGGTGTTTTCCTGCTTTCCTGCCCATGACAGCAGCACACCTCAAACTCCACACAGGGCACTCACCTGGGTGTGGGCTCCATCGGGGACACGGCGCGGTGCATGGTCATGGGTCTCGTGAAGTACACCAGGTACCCTGAAGAGACAGGACACGGCACAAAGATCATGCAACAAGGAGGAGATTACTCAGGGGTGGTTCAGTTCAAATGACCAGATTTCCCTGTGTATCAGAGGCAAGGGGCTTGGTTTTTATCCACCACCCTTAGTAATTATAAACTAAAAGCAGACTTTCTCTCAACGCAAATCAACTCCCTGCAAATCCACCACAAAGCATGGGGGTTTTGAGATGTTTCTCTCAAAAACACAATTTCAAGCGGCTTATAGCTATTAGAGAAAAGACAGGAAAAGGAGCAAATGTATGCTCATGTTTTAACTCTCTATCAGAACTTGCCAAGCACTGTCACTCCAGAGGTAAGTGAGGTGATGTTTGGCAATGAAGAGAAACCACTGCAGCCTGTACAACTCTCTTCCTCAAGAGGAGAGCCCCAGACATCTGAAGCCAACTCCAAGACATTCTCTCATAAGCCTTATCCCATTTGTTAGCCTCTCAAGTGTCTTCAGCCACCTACTCTTGCCAGCATTTCAGGATTTAGCAGGCTTTACTGGGCCTATTCAATGCAATATTATTCTGTTTTACTTTTACTTGGAATTCAGGGAGGCCTGTATGGAAAGCAGCTTTCAAAACATGCTCACATGAGGATGCAGTCAGGTCCAGAGAAGGCATGTGTGCATCTGAAACAGCTCAGTGAAACTTAACAGCTCTTACTCAGATCTTAACCTGGTTTTTAATGAACTTTACCCTCTATGTGGTCTCCTGGAAACCTGGATGTGATTGTACCCCATCTCCCATTTAGGGGAAGTTTCTTAATGACCTTGGGAAAGCTATTTTGGACAAGTGGAAGAGTGTAGAATGAGAAGAGAGTGGTTAGTAATACGAATATGGTTTCAGCAAGGTGTAAATTCAACCCCAAATCACAGGAATTTTGTGAAGACTGAGTGCCAGAATACACCCAGTAATGTGATGCTGGTAGCAGAGAACTAGGCAAGGAAAACAGCTATTCCCAGTGTTCTATAAAAAGACATCTGTCAATGCCTCTGGCATGCCACAAGCCAAAGGTTATCTCTTCAGCTAGTCCTGCATTTCCAAATCCTAAAGCCCCACATGCAACCCCCACTGCTAACAGTTGCTAACCAGTCTCATCTCTAAATTTACCACAGTATCACTACTTTAACACCATTCCTTACCCCTTGCATGGCAATAACCAAAGCCTCATCTTGTTAAGAGGCAAGTGTTCCCCAAGACCTCTAAAAGGACCATTCCCCAGGTACCAGTTTTAATGTATCAGTGACAGGGCTGACCTGCACCACAGAATCTGGCTCCAGAGGTCCGCGGAAAGGGAATGTTGGAGTCCTGGTAGGAGCCATAGGCATTGGAGACCCGGGCGAACGTGGGCAAGGGGGGTGTTACGGAGTTGGACAGAGCGTAGGGATTGCTGGACGTGCTGTCCTCTTGGTTCTGAAACAGAAGTTACCTAAGGTCACACTCCTGCTGCCACAGGAGAGGAATCCAGCCAGATTGGACGTGGCAGTGCCAAGCAGCCTCACAGGAGGTGCTCATTCTATGAGCCAGAACAGACCAAGCTCAGAGCACAATTACTGCTTCAACTGCAGAGGCACTTGCAGGCACATTTGCCTTTGAGGAAGAAGCTTCTCTGGCTGCCTGTCCAGAGACTTCTCTCCCACCATAACCATGCTGAAATGCAGAGCTTAACTTGGGGAGGAACAGGAGGAAACTATACAGAAAATCTGACCTTCAAACTCTGGACATGATGCTCAAGGCAGCTAGCTGAGCTGGACATGATACCTCAATGATGCACAAAATCTCCTTAAGTGGGAATACCACACAACTGTGGGGTGTCAAACACAGGCTGGGAGTCTTCAAATGAGGAAGGTGGGTGGAGTGAATTACTGGGGAACCTCAGGACTACCCACAGGAATTTTGGCCGAAATCTGCATTTATTTGGATAAAGAATACTACAACTTTGGTCTAAAAGAATTCTTTGAAAGCAGTGGTGCCTCAAGTCATCGGATTTCCACACAGCAGAGAAAGTTCCCACTCTTACAATATTACTGCTGAAACCAAGCAGAATAAGTCTTCACATGTAAAAAAAAACCCCAGCCCTTTATTTGTTATGAATAAACAAAACCTCTGAGAAAAGAAACCCGAGGAGACTCTCCAATCTTTTCCTGAATGCTAAAAACACCCACTCCAGTACACTTCACCCACACAAAGACCTAATACCTGACACTGGGATGCTGAGTAGGTATCACAGATCTCGCAGCTAAGAGCAGAGTGTGACTTGGATTTATCTGCAGTATCATCCCTACAAAACCTCAGCAGAAGGCTGCAGAAAAAAACAGATTTTCACAGTTTGGGTTTTTTTCAGGGAAGAAAACAAAAACCCTAGAATAGGACTAGAAGGATCTTTGACTTTGAACTGAGGAGGTGAAGACATCTGCCACTGCCTTTCAGACAAGAATGACTCCATCAACAATCTGAGGCCTCCTACCTTCTCTCACAGATGATAACCATGCCCTGGCAGTCAGTGAAATATATTCTGAGCTGGGAAGCTACCACACCACTAAGATTCTCCAATCTCCAGTCACTCCTGGTAACCTGGATATCAGAGTTCCCCAAAGCAAACCTTCAGGGCCGCATTTGTAGAAAACAAAACACATCTAATCATCTGCCCCGCTGTCTTCAACATTAACCAGAAGTGCTCACACAAATGTAATGGCCAGTCACAGGGGTCTATTTACACATCTAACGAGGCCAGACTCTCACTGCGGAGTCAGAAGTGTGGGACATGGGAAAAGACGACAAACTAGGGCAGAGAGCCCACACAGTTCCGTACCACGACAGACTCCAGCCAGGAGACCAGCTGACGCAGGCAAGGCTCCAGGCAGCTCTGGTTCCGCTTCACTTTCTGCAGGGAAGTGTCTTTCAGTATCTGGAATACACACAAGACACAGCTTTGTTCACAGTTACCTCCACACTTTGCCTACATCCTTTTTGTCTGCAGAGCAGCTTACATGCTAGGACCTGAAGAGGTCACAGACATCCCCTAACATCCACTGCAGCCACTGGTGTGCTGTCTGCTCTGAGGAATGGCTGTCTGCTTTGATCAGAGCACTGAGGTTCACCTAGAAGCACACTGAGCCAGGATTTAGGCTTCAATATTACTGCAGCCCATATGTTTCATACCAGTTTGAGGCAAACTGGATCAGGTTTTTTCAAGAAGAAACCCAAACTGATCCATCAATGTGTTGCTGGGGAAAGGATTTCATTAGCAATAGGATTTGCTATAGCAGATGATCAAACACCTTGTCTGAATTAGCAGGGCCTGTGTAAAAAAACCCCCTCATTTTTAAAGCAGCTTGTGTAGTAGAGCAGTAAGCAACATCCTAGCTCAAAAATAGTATCATGCTGCAGCTGGATGCTTAGCTGGTCATTTTGTCTATTACTGGGATGAGGGCAACTGCATGATAAGGATGTTAGGGATCCTCAGGCAATACACATCACACTGGAACACAGCAGCAATAAAGAAGCAGTGGAAAAAGGCAAACACTGGGCTGCAGCACCAACAAAAACTTCATCCTATGGGCTTCACAATTTACCAGTTCAACATGACCTGTGGTATGTCTTCATCAAAGCCTGATGTTTAGTTATATCTCAAAAATCCAGACGTCAAGTATCCATCATTTGTACATTTTATAAAGACACTCTCTTACTCCTTACACACCTTCAGCAGCTTTGCCTTCATGGAAGCTGTGATGGAGGTTGGGTTGATGAACTGGAAGGACGGTGCAGCATTATTGGGATACTGGACAGGGAACATCACCAGCATCCTGACTCTGTGGTTGCCACAGTGCACCGATACCGTACAGCTGCGACTCACTGCATCCATCTGTGAGGAAGAGCATTGGTTTTTAGTTAGATCTCCCAGGACTTTTACATTTATAGTGGCTTAAATTCATGCTGAGGGACTGATTCCTCTGCATATAAGAAGAAGTCATGCTGTTCTCAAAGGCAGAGAATACAGTGACAGCAAAAAGCCCCAGGCAGACGGGGACAGGCTCAGCTCGCACCAGCAGACTGACATTCCAGCATCCAGAGACTGTGGCCAGCCCAGGCAGCACCAAGAAAAGGGCTCTGCTCCCAACAGCCACTGCACCCCAGCCCACTTCACTTGGCCATGGAGAGCTCCTGGCCCAGAGCAAGAGTAACAGGCACCTTCTAAGATCCTGCACCACTGTCTCAGAAAACTACATCAGGATCACCCATGAGCTGTGAAACCACAGGGGTGGGGAAAGGAGACAGGCAGCTGCCTCCAGCCTCCCAGCCCAGTTCAGTGCTGTGCCTCCAGTCAGCTTCCAAGCACAGAGGAGAGTCTGGAGTGCAAGGAAGGGGGCAATTGAGGGACAGAGCTCAGCACAGGGAGGGCTCAGCACATGGGATTCAGAACCAGCTGAAATGAGATCAACTCCATGGAACAAGTTACCTTCCACTCCACAGTCTAGGCAGAGAAGAAAACACCATCCAGTCCTCTCAAGATCAGCCAGCGTACTTGCTGTGCTGAAACATTTCTCTCACACCACTGTCTGGGATTATCCTCTTTCTTACTACCCCTGGCCAAGAGCATCTCAAAATAAAACTTGTTTACAGAGAGCAGTCACTGCAGCAAAGAAGATTCCCCTCTAAAGGCTCCAATAAGCCAGCCTGCCCACATCCCCTCCTAACAAGCCAGCAAAAGGAAGCTCTGTACCTCCACATTGACATTTCGGATCTGCACATTGATCAGTGAAAACTCCTGCTGCAGTGTTTGAGGCAGCCCCAGTTGGTCCGTTTTCTTTCCCACCAGGGGGTCATTCAGGAAATCTTCTTTTAAGGCTGACAGGAAAGATGGAAAACAAGTTGAGACAAGCTGTAACAGGCAGAATACTTCACATAATGTCAGGAGGCAGCCAAGGTAGCAGGTTTTCCTCTGCTTTTCTGACACATGGAGTTATGAGTTTTATCTGGCAAAGACCTGTGAGCTGGATGGTCTCAGTTGTTTGGAGGCAAATTTCTGACCCTTCTCTTCAAAAAACCAAAGCTGTCTGCACACAGGGTTCCCAGGAAGGTTACAGAACCTACCTGTACTTTGTACAGTCCTAAATGGTCCATTCTTCTCATGTGAAACCCTTTTTCCTCCCTACATAGTGCTGCTAGAGTCATGATTGGCTGAACTGGAGCATCCCAGTTCAGCAAGAAAGAACTGAAGCCCTAGCAGTCTCCAGGAGGAGCTCTGGTCTTTGGGACTAACACCTCACCATTCCTGACTTTCAGGGAAAGCTTCCAAAGCATAACAATGCTTTGGGAGAGAGCAGGGAGTATTTCTGTTCCTAATATAAGCCTAATTCATTTGCAGCAGCCATTTGCATTTAATGTTGCAAAGGACTCTAGTGCTTTAACAGCCTTTAAAGACTCATCAAAATACTGTGTCTAACTCTCCAGTTCCAGCGTTTTTTAGGAGGACAATAACCCCTGAAGGCCAGAACGCATTTAAACAGCCAGGCAAGCGCTGCAGGACACAAAGAATTAAGTTAACAAACTTCACTGAGTTTGAGAAGAATTGGTCTCTGCCTGTAGTTGTGCCTGGCTTCTTGCTGTGTAGCTCCACAAGGGCGTTCTGCTGTAGCACCACTTCTTAAGAAGGCCAAATATATTTTATTATGATGGTTCCAAGGACAGAAGGGAAGTCCTGATTTTTCACCTGTCATTCTCACACTTGCAATATCACATTGCACAGACTATTCCCAGCAAAAACAAACAAATGAAAAGAAATGCAAAAAGTTGACCTTTTACAGGCATTTGCCTAGAAGTTACTGACTTTGGTGCAGGGACAAATATCTGGTATTACCACTACTCAAAGGGTTGCTGGATTTGGATAGGTAGGATGCTCAGCCAATCATTCTTGTTTGCAATTCTATTACAGCACTTAGATATATTCCAGAAAAGGGAGCTGAAAAGGAGATTAAAGGAAGATCAGTGGTTCTCAGGGAAGATAATTATTTCTAGCTCAAGATACCACATAGCTTAATGAAAAGCCATCTCTGAGGTTCCCAGTATGGGCAATACCCTCCCTTTGTCTTCTCCTCCCATTCCCTTCCAATTAGTTTTTAATCCTCCAAACCCACGTGTTTGTAGAGATTTCTAAAGCTCCTCCACAAGCAGTAGCAAGAGCTGTGCAGCAAAGGCACAGCTGGGGCTCTCTCGTTCACCTGCAGAGCGCTGATCTCTTCAAAAGATCCCCCAAAGTGCTTTACTAATGTAACATGGAGGATTTGTCTGCAGCAGAAATGCAGCTACCCCCAGGGTGAAACATCAACAGTCCACAAAAGCTTTTTGGCTAGAAAGAACTGAAATCCTACCTAGGGATTTGCTTGTGCTTTAATCCTGCAGTCGTGTTATTTGCAGCAAAATCTACCCTACTACAGAAAAGCCATATTCATTCCCTTTGGCCATGGGGAAAACCATAACAGTCTGAACCAAAGAAGAAACCACATGGAAAACAGACCCACACAGCAACCACACAGGATGTTTGGATGTGCATCATCAGGGACAGTGGAAGAGTTAACTCTCATTTGTGGAAAAAAGAGAGGTCAGGCAGCCAGAAGGAGGATGCTGCCAGCTGGAGCAAGAGAGGTTGTGCTGCCTGAGAAGTACTGCTCATGGGGAGCACAGGTATCTGGGGCTTTTTCTATCATCTTATAAAACCCTGACATAGACAGAAGTTCTAATGTCTTTCAGAAACTTGTTCTGTTGCCACACAGGACAGGAGGCAGAGAGGAACTTCATTGGCAATTGCAGAGCAAGAAACTTCCAGTTAGGAAGAGATGCGTTCACTAAGGGACCTCACAACTGATCCTTTATTCAAAAGCCACTTTCTCCCCTTCTCTGCAGTTTACTGGCAAGCTAAAGGAAGAATCAAATTGCTCCCCCATAAACCCATCACATGTGGATCCATTGTGGCACAGATGCAACACTGAAAGGAGCTGTGAATTTAAACCCAAACTGATATAAAGGCATTGGTGCACCGAATTCTTCCTCAGTGTAGCTGCAGAAATCCTTTTAGATACCTTTTTTCCATGCACATCACCATGTGATGCTATAACCTCTTCTTGTACTTACACTGCTCAAACACTAACCCTGAGTGTTTAACCTGGCCAGAGCCTTAACCACACTAAGCCTCCTTCATGCTCCTTCCTTGCATGCCTTCTTTTCTGTAGGGACAAACTTTCTGTCAAAGTGTCTCCCATCCATCCCTCAGTATATCAGAAGCCAGAGATACTATCCATCCCCCCTCTTCTCTGTCAGAGCTCAGTTACCTTCTGTCAATACATGACCAAAAATTCATGACCTGTCTCTGTATCTACTTGTGGTGAAGGCACCAGCAAACACCTCCTTGTTAGATCAGTTACATAGTGACCCCAGCAGAAATGTTTAGGTACCAGGTGTGATGTAAGCAGCTTGTGTCAGAGTGCCTCACTCACACACTCCCTCTTCTGAAGGCTCATCTCTCAGCTTAAACTAATCTATCTTGTTAAAAGGCAGAATTATTTTCTGATTGCCTTACCTTTGGCAACAAGCCACAACTACAATCTAAAGAGCATGCAATTAAATGAAAATCATGACAAGGAAGAGCTTCATTTTACAGCTAGAAACTTTGTGTTAGAAGAGAAAAAACTTGGGAATACCATCCTGAGGAACCCCTAGTGTTTTTCCTCCTCCCTGATGAGGAATCCATTAACCTTTGAAAAAGTGGCAGGTTGTGCTTTGTCTATACATCTTTGGCAGGCTGTGCTTTGTCTTTATCCCAAGATGTATCTTCTTCCCAACCCAAAGATGCTGGTGTTTGAGGTTCCGCAAGCCATCACTTCTCTCACCTTCCTCATCCCCATGTCCAGAGTTATGCTGGGGCTCCGTGTCCTGGGGGTGAAGGGTCTTGTCTGGCTCTGGCAGATGAGAAATCCCATCAATGAGGTCCTCAACTCCATCCAGGATATCATTAGCACAGAGCTGAAAAGAACAAACACACCCACGTGCTGCACAACAGAATCCAAGTTGTGGGAAGAGCCACCACTGAACTCACTTCTTCAGACAGATGGATTTGCAAGGTGGGTCTATCCACGCAACAGTCATGACTAAGACTGCATTGTTCCTGTGACAAAGACAGGTCATCTTTCACCTTCCAGCACTCTCAACTCTGGTACCTCAGACAGCCTGGCCAAATCTCCTGCTCACTTAAAAAGCCACTTAATTGACAGGGCCAGTCTAAGAAACAGAGGTTTACCTTTAGTGAAAACTAAAACTGATATTACTTCAATTACTTGAATTAATTTGTTAAAACATGTTTAATTTTTAGATCAAATTTAATAGCAGCACACTTTCTGCATTTGATATTTACACTCCAGTAGGATCTAGAAACCCAGGTACATACATGGCGTCCTATTGTTCTAGGTCCTGTATCAAAATGAGACTATAAAACCCTGAATTTGAAATTCAGCACAAGAAAACTGGGAAGATGAAGGGAAGAGAAAGGATAACGGTGTGATGTAGCAAATTACAGCATTGGTCACCAGCAACATGCCATCATGTGCATAGTTTGATCCAGACAAAGACAAGGACAAAAGAGTGGGAGCCAGTAGAGGAAAAATAAAGGCTCTGACATGAATGGACAATTGATTTAAAGAGAGGAAGGAAATCAAATGTTCACAAATATATCAGGTAGGAGAAAAGGGTCATTTTTCACAGAGAAAGTTTGTTACAGACCTGCAGAACTCCTGCAGGATCTGTGCAGGGACACATGCTTCTCAACATATTCATTAAAAACCTGGAATAGGAGGTGAATAGTGACATGACCAGGTTTGCTGATGCCACCAAATTTATCAGGGCAGTAACAAGTGTGGCTGACTGCAAACAATCACAGAAGGACCTTACAAGGGCAACTGTATTAAAATGAAAGATGTTAGGCTCAGATAAATATAAAGCAACATAAATAGGGGAAAAATTACAAGCTGAAAGTTCAAGCTGAGGGAACAAGATGTAGAAGCAAGACTAAGCTGATGATTTCATGGAATTATGCCAAACAATTTACAAACTAAACTGAGTACTGAGAATTCTTTGGAAAGAACAAAGCTCAGATCCCCATCCCCAAGGTATATACTAGAACTGAAAAAGGGTCAGGAAAGGCAAAAGGACAAAGTTCTAGTACAAAGGATGAACTAAATCAAGAACTTATGACTTGAAAAAGGAGGCAGCTGAGAAGGATATGATGCAGACCTACAGAATCGTGAGTAACATAGAATATAGCCCATTTAATCTTCAACTGAATGAAATTAGGTGGCAAAAAAAAACAAATGAGCTGGTTTTCCACATAACATGCAGGAAAGCCATGAAACTCCTTGTTGTTTGATGTTTAAGGTGACAAAAATTTACTTAGGTCCAAGAAAAAAAAGAACAAGTCTATGGAAGTGACACTCACCAAGCTCTATCAAATACAAAGATGCCAGACTCAATGAGCCTCTAAGTTGCAAACAGCAGGAGCCTGACAGGGCATTTGAGAGAAACATCACTCCATGTCTGCCTCCTTATCCCCTCCCAAGACATCAGCTGAAGATGTGACAGGGCCATGTGGCCCACTGTGGCCATATGAACCTCTGGTACACGCCAGCACAACTGTTCTAGTACTTGCATCAGAATCTGTAACTGCTGCAGATCCACACACTCACAGCACCCACCCCAGGCTTAGAGGCAATGGGAGACACAATGGGAGGTAGAGGAGGGCACAATGCCTACCTGGCACCTAAACTGCCAAGAAGTAGAGTCTTGTGGCATTTTAGAGGCAATGCAGGCAGTAACTGCCCTCCACCTTCTCCAAACAAACTTCTGCCCTTAATGTTAGACCATAAAGCAGCCTTGCACAGCCACCGAAACTTTTGAGACACAAGCTCAAAAGAGAAGACCCATCACAAGTCTCCTTGGGGATGTTTTTGGGCTGGAGTTGAAGAGAAAAGTGAAGCAGCAGATGGCTTCTGTGTCTGCAGCTCTATGATACCAGAGGACTGACTGGGAGTGCAAGGAAGGGGAGGTGAATCCAGCCTGTAAGAAAAGCATCTGCAGTTCAAGAACCAGAGCGTCCACGTACCCTCTGCAACTGAGAGTCAATCCGCCACATGCGCAGGGTCTGATCCCGGGACCACGTAACCAGCTGGTAATCCTTACAGCCTGAAGAGGACAGAAACAATTAGAGACCCCACCAGAAAACAGAGACTATCTCAGCCTTGTGTTCAGTGTAAACAGATTCAAATAAGCCAGCAGGCACATCCAATGGATAAGGAACTAAACTGAAAGGCAGAGCAAGTCCTTTTCCGCTTCAAATTGACCCAGGTACAACAGCCTTTGTGCCTCCCCACACCACAGTCACTACACCTCTAACAGGATGTGATTTACAAGCCAAAAGCACCAAGTACAATGAATGTGACACAACCAGAATAAACAAGACCCACAACAATGTTGATTTAAATAGAAGAAACAGTATAGTAAAAAAAAATGTTTCTCAACTATAACTGTAAAGTGAAAATATCTTTTAGTTAATCAAATCTATTTCAACAGGTAGATGTTTTAAAACATTTCTAAGCAATGAGAAGATGTTTCTGCCCTTTCTCTTCTTGCTTCTGAAAGAGTTGGATGATGCCAAGTTCAGGTTGTAAGGAAACAGATCTAACCACATACTATCTATCAACAGGCAGAGGTACACAGACCTATTTATGTCCATGTTTAGGTCTTGTGATACAGTTTTAGGTTTCCCTCGTCAAACAGCTGCTATAGTTAAGAATTTGCTGCTGCACAGCTGCTTCCTACACCCCTCTGCTGAGGCACAGGGGCTGTCTAAATACAGCACAACAGACTCTGTGGAAGGAAATTTGTGCTATCTTGGTTGTCTCCACACTGAAGCAGACTTGGAATGTTTGTATGATTGATTTATGTTGCTTGAGACAAGCAAGAAATCCAACCCTGGGTAAGTATGTATTAAAGCAGCTAAGACAACCAACAGTAGCTCAAGCCTGCTTTAATGTTCATTCACAAACTATCTTAGCCTGTGCCTTCAGATCCTAACACAGTTCTCCATTGCTCTCCTCTTTCTGAAAGAGGAAAAGCAAGTTATGGAGAAGGAGGTGGCTTAACTGAATGGCCCCAGCAGCTGGTGGGAAAGGACTGGACCAGCACTTTCACACAGCACTGCAAAGCTGTAGCACAAGCAACACCAAAGCCAGACGTGCACATTCTGTCAGTGGCAGCTGAGGTGCTGGAAACAAAGCTGTGCTCTGTGTAGTTATGCAACCTCTGGTATGGAATCTCCTATTCTTAGCTGCTTACTCTAGGAAAATTTAGTCAGGACTGAACTCTAACAGCAGACTCCCTATCCCATGTTATTCTTCCCTTGCCTTGCAGCAGACAAATAAGGTGTGCTTGCTGGGTCTGTGGTCTGGGATATGCTGGAGGCTGCTGATCCAGGCCATGATATGAGGGGTTAACTGGTTAGCCTGCAGCTCTGAGTAGGGAAAGGGTGCCTGCACTCATGCACCTATCTAATAATTTGCACCATTTATTCTGAAAGATTAATTTAAAAAGAGACTCCCAGGAGAGTGGAAGCAATGAAAGTCACCACTGACCCACTCAGCCTTTGGTAGATTTGCTTTGTTAGCATGGAAACAAGGCAGTGCTTCTGTAAGCACTGTCACATAAAACCAGTACAGAACAGCTGTAGTTTGAGGAAGGTAATGGGAGGCAGGAAGGTGGGCAGGAGCTACTTCAAGGAAAGGCAAGAGTCAAAAAGCAACAGCACTGCAATCAGGAGCCAGGTCTCCACACCCCTGGTTAGCTGACAGCCACAGTGTAAGGAAGAGAGCACATTCAACCCTGAACTTACCTTCTTTCTGCTTCCTCCACTGGAACTCCAGCACCACATCATCATGTCCTACGAAAGTGTGGACAGGCGTGTTCAGGTCAAAGACATTCCAGAGGAGGAGACTGTTTTCCCGACGGAGTTGGGGAACCATCACTGTCACCAGTCCATTGCTGAAAGGCTTAGGGAGAAACACCCTTCCAGTTAGCCATGGAGAGTTCCCATGCTGCTATTATCATACTCTCATTTTTCCCTGTTCCCACCAACACAAATGCAAAGGTTTTAAATGAGCTCAGCACAAAACAGAATCAGGCCAAAATCTGGGAAGGTGCAAGGCAATTGCTGTGCAAAAACACTGTGTTTCAAGGGGTAAGATGTAGTACACCAAGATACTGCATGCAGCTCACTTAAGACAAATAACTTCTTTCTGCTGCTTCCTCACTTTCCATCTGTGAGGCTGGAGGATTTCACCACTGACTTTTCACTGGGAATCCTTACTGCAATCTGCCTGGAGCTGCAAGAACTGCTACCTGGGGACTGAGCCCCAGCAGCTCCTCAGGGTCACGATGCTCAAAGGAACATGGAAACCAGTCCTACATCCCTTGATGCTTGGACAGGGAAAGGGGATCAAGATTCAAGGCACAGCACTGGCTTCAGGCCACATTCAGACCTCTGGGGATTATGACTGATATTAAGAGCCTTAGCTTCACTTGGGTGGGTGCTCGCTCACTCCTTCTCCTGAATGCCCCCACTGTGGACCCGGCTTTTCTACACCTTTTAGGCACCAAGAAAGATTTTTAAAATCAACTTAATGTCCACAAGTAGAACTGGTGAGAAACCCTGTGGCAGTTCTTTAGTTAATGTCTCTTGGTGCATTCTTCTCAGAGCACAAGTGGAACTGGTGGGAGTTTCTCACTGACCGTGTATCTTGCCTTCCAGACGGGAACCTGGCAGGGAAGGATATTGAGGTATTTCCGAGGCTGACGGTAATCCCAGAACTTGAAAAAAAAAAACAACAAACCAAATGAAAGGCAAGCAAAGGCAGGAGTCATCTGGCTATACTTTCAGGCTGTAGTTTTCCATGTGGCTTGCAGTTAGCACAGACCAAACAGCACGCCAGGGTGCCCACAGCATCATTAGTAATCCCATTCATTAACAGCAGAGACAGCCCCAAAGGACAAATACCAAGCTATCAGCATCTGGCAGCATCCCTTAGAAAATGAGTGACTTGGGGTCATATTCACAGTGATCATAGCTTGAGTAATTAGAGCAGGGAGACAGGCAGCCTGCTTGGGCTTTCAGAGCTACAAGGTACCCTGCAGGCTGCCAGCCAACGTGCCAGTCCAGGCTGGAGGCAAGCCCACCCTGCTGTTACTGCTAATTTTCTAATGAAGAATCTAACCTTTTGCTTTGCTAGAATACACATCAATTGCATTTGCCTCAGAGCCTAGCTCAATGTGAATGAACTCCATTTGGCTGACATACAAAGCACACGATTTCCCCCCAAGTAAGAGGCCCTGCACAGCAGTGCTTGCAGGCAGTCTCTTACTGATAATCCTGTTCAACATGAGTTTGTAAACTCCAGGGGCTGAAGTATGTGTCCCCTCAAGTTACTATAATCAGCTTGAGGCTGGCAACATGCATTTCTGGAAAAAGGCTCTTCTGGCATGTGTGGTCTGTTCCTTTCTGGCAAGCAACAGGCAGAGACAGTTGTTTTCAGCTTCAAGGCTGCCCTAATCTCCACAGACACGTGACAAGCGTATGTGCACCCATTCTTCAGTGACCTCTGCCTGTTCTGAAAGTGCAGTCCTGGCTCAACATACCAGGTGACCAGAAACTAAACAATAAAGATCCAGGTCTTGCCAATGGCAAAGCACTTCCCAAAACTTCAGCAGCAGCAGCAGAAGGGGATCTGCTCCACCACCCTTCCTACTCCCTGGAATTCAGAAACAACACTTACCCTGACAGAGTTGTCCTGGCTGGAAGTGGCCAGTGTATACTCATTGTCAGGATGCCAGTCCAGACCGTGGATTTTGGAGAGATGAGCTGCCAAATACTCCACTGCAGTGCTGGGTTTCTGCAAGGAGAAAGGTTTCTGTCCTTCTCAGCACAGGACACCTGAAATTTGGTCTAGTTCTTTGGCATAAAAAGAGACACTTTAACCAGGGCAAGACAGTTAGAACAACCACCCCTGCTGGGGAATGGCAAATAGCTCAGCAGAAGTAGTTGAAGAAAAAAATCTTGTGAAGGTATGGCAAATTCCAGTCATCAAGTGCAGCTCTAACCACACTTTATACTCAGTTCAACAGTTAAGTACTATGAGATCAAAAGGAAAATGGTAATGGGTACAGTCTCTGAGGAAGGAGGTTACCTACATATTCTCTTCAGACTCTTGGACTCCCAATTCTCTCTAGTTTAAACTGACCCACAAGAGAGATCTGGGATAAAGTAGTACATTTCCTTAGTATTTATCTGTCACCAGAGGACTATCTGTATTGGGTAGGTGGGAAAATGTACAGACTGTTCAAAAATTCCTCAGCTTACCCTTTTGTCCCATATTCGGACATCCCCATCGTGGCTTGTTGCTAAACAGTTGGCATTTTTCTTGTTCCACTTCACCTGGGAAGCTCCAGCTGCAGCACAAACAGAGCAGGCCAAAACAAGCAATTAAAGAGAAAAGAGCACAGTAGTCCCATTGCCTGGACCTAGAGCTGCTCTTAGCCCAGGAAAGGCAGTTCAGAGGAAGCATATCCCAGAAGCAAGCATGAAGGATGGCATGAAAATTATTAACTCCTGGTTCCTCAGTGTATCATTTGTATCCTCAGGACAGCAAAGTTTTCCAGTTGCATGCCTAGAGATCTTTATCACATCTTCTTGCCAGGGGCTGTACCTGATTAGCTCCAATGGAGGAACTTACTCCAGACCAGAAATGTAGGTTCATCACCTCCTTCCCAAATCCCCTCGATTTTTCTTCAAGCTACTTTTAGGTGCTTAGGGCCTGTTTCACCTCCCACCACCCCCCATACTATCAGCTGCTACACAGGCAACTAGTGCTATTGATCTATGATTAAAATACAGGTGTAGGAGAAGGCTGCAGTGCAGGTGACCTTGGGTGTGACCAGGTAGACTCACTGGATGGACTAGAAGATCCATCTGTCAAAATATACCACAGAAGTCAAAGACACCAATGACAGTATAAAGAAACCGGATGATGGTCCAGATATGACTTATATGTGGTATCATGAGGGACTCAGTTAAATCAGATGATGGGTGGTTATTTCTAATAGAAACAAAGCACAGTTTCTGTTAATGTGGATTTTCAGGTATTGTAAACATAATGCATCTGTTCATCCTTATTCTGCCAGTATTTTCAAACCTTCTGAGCTATCACAAAGGTGAGATCCCTGAGAAAGCTAAACAGATCTCAGCCTGCTGCTATTCCCCACCTCCACTACCCACCTCCTGCTGCATGGTGAACAGATTCATCCTGACAACCTGGCAAAAGCTATTCTGGGGGATAAAAAGCTGCAAATAGACTGCCAGTTGATTGATTTGATCCACTCACTGAAGGGTACACAAATGTCTGGACCAGCATTAAACAGCAGCAGGCACAGGAGGAAGGAAGGAAGTAAGGAAGCTTTCTGGGGAGCAGGCTGCTGGGCTGGCTCAGGCGTGAAACCTCACCCCAGATACCAGAACCGACCACTGCTTCTCTCTGACTCAGTAAGGTTTTTTTGCATTTCTGTGACAGAGAGGTTTGATGGCTGGGAGGGGAATGGGAGCTGCTGCAGATGATGCTTAAGGAGATGTAAGCAGCAGAGCATTAGAGTCACACATTGTAAAGATTGCTCCAGTACTGGGGACAGTAACTCAGAGAAAGGACATGTTGCTCATCATCTGTGCCCTGTCCCAGCTCCAGCCAGTGAGGACAGACACACAGCACCTGCCAGCTGGTGGTATTGCAGGGGCTGGACACACACCTTGCCAGCAGCCAGGACAAGAGCCTTTCCAGAGAAAGCACAGCCCAAAGACAGCACCTTGTGTGCTCCCTGCATGTTGCAGGTGCCCTAGGGAAGTGGATGCAGCCAGCTGCTGTATCCAACCTGAGTGAGTGAGGGGACAGGCTGGCACAGAGAGCTGCTTGAGGTATGGTTTAGTTCCTCATCTGATTCAATCAAACATAAAAGGATGTGAGGAAATTACAGACAGGCAACCCAGGACAAGCAGTGCAGCAAGGTGGTTAAGCAGGGAGGGAGCTCCATGTGGCCATTCACCAATGCTGGGGCAGCAAATCCAAGTTCCCTAACTGCCCTCCATGCCTGGGAACCTCAAGGGGCTCCACATCTCTTCTGAATTCTGCTTCTCTAAAAGGAGTGAACTGGAGCCTCGCAGGCTGCTCCTACAGAGGACAATCACAGCAGTGGCACTCCTGCACTTTGCCACGCCTGGCCTTGGAGCATGAAGGGAGGGAAGAACAACAGAAGGGGCATGCAACAATAATGTTGTTTAATACCTACATCACACACATCAGACTTACCAACTGCAGAGAGTGAGACCGTGGGCTTCCTGGTGTCTCTGAAATACAATGTGGCCACTGTAAGTACACACAGCATAGTCCAGCCTTCCCAGCAAGCTCCCTGTTATTCCAGCACTAAGGTTATTGCTGCCTTGGGACCTAACGTACCTTGTGCTTACCAAAATACACCAGCATTAAATGGAATAAAGGTGACCAGCTGGAGGACAACAACCACCCTGGAAGTGTTCAAGGCTGGGCTGGATGGGTCTTGGGGCAACCTGGTCTACTGGAAGGTGTACCTGAACTTGGCAGAGGGATGGAACTAGATTTTTAAGGTCTATTCCAACCCAAACCTGTCTACAATCCTGTTTTGCCAGCACATGCAGCAGGAAGTTTAGGACAGAGGACAGAGCTGGACTGGACTAGAGGGAGGAGAAACATACACAAAGTGTGGCATATTGCAACTGGGTAGGCAAGGAAACAGGGCTCATGAATTATTGCTGTGGGAAGCAACTAAACAGCCTTTCCAAGGAGGATTAAAGGAACAAACAGAGCTGTGGAAGCACTCAACAAAAGCCACTGATGTGCTCGTGGAGCCTTTGCAGATTCTGATTCAAAGCAGATGGAGCAGTTACTACAGAGCAAAAACTTCATGTGTAGCATATAATACAAAAATTAGTAGAAAATCAGCCCAGCTGTGTGCAGACTGAATTTTGTCTGTCTACAAACCAAATTTTGCAGCGGCAGAAACCAGTGTGGCATCCTGACAACTCCCAGCAGCCAGGGCATAGATCAAGGCAATAATTTACTTCCTGGCCTTGCTCCTCAGGATTTCACCTGCTCTTTCACGAAAAGTGACAGTGAAAAAAAGGAATATTATCTTCAGCTTTTTCTGCTTGCTTAAAAGCAGAACATTTTCTGGAATGGACTGCACCCCTCCCTTTAAGAATTTCTGCCTAATCAAAAAGTTATTTTGTATGAAAAATTAAGTGGGGAATTTTCAGCTGCCCCTACTGCAGGGCAGTATCCTTAGGGTATCATTAGAGACAGTCACTTCAGCAGGATGTTAATTTGCTGGAGGCCAGCAGCTCCAGCACCTCAGTGCCACAGCAAGCTCAGAGCCTTTCCCAGCACAAGTGGGAGGTAGAGGCTTTCAGAGACTGCCAAAAGGAGCAGTTCTGGGCAAGTGATACAGGCAGACACGAAACAATGGAAGGGCACAATAGAGTTAAAGGAGGAGTTCTGATAACAACCTTCAGACATCTCTATTTTTTCTTCTTGGCATTAAGATAGTATCACAGGAAAACAACCGGTAGTTATTGTATCTCTGTGTCTTTTAATTACACATTAATAATATATTGTCATTCTCAAGCACCATTTAACCAAGGATCTAAGTGCTTGTTCATAGGAACTAAGCAAGCCTCCGGGTAGCCTGGTGCAGTGGGGTTATATAATTATCCTCCTATTATAACTGAGACAGGGAGGCAGAGAGGAACAATGTGATTTGCTGGGGGTCATAAAGAGTTGTACAGCTATCAAGAGAACCCAGCAGTCCCAATACCAGCTCCTTGCTTCTCAGGTATAAAATCTGCAGCTTAAATTTGGACATCTAGTTGGAAATATCTGCTACCCTGAAAATACTCATAGCAGAAAGCAACACCAGGAAACAAGGGAAGGTACAAACACGAAAACCTTCCTGAATACCACTGCCAGTCTTCCCACCACTGAGGGAGAACCAGCAACAATCAATGAATTTAGTAGAAAATGGCTACAGGATCATGAAATGGTGCTCATTAACTGAGCTAAAAAAAAAAACCCAGCAGGTTGAGGAACAACCTTGGGCTCCAAGAAAAGCTTCCAAAGAAACATATGAAGTGGGCAGGGAGTGAAGCCAGACAGTTGTAGCTTAACTGTACCACTCTATTGCCCATCACTGACTCTGAAATGGCTTGAAAATAGGGGAGCAGAAGTCATTCTTGGAAACAATGGGAAGTAACTGAAGCCCCCCAGAAGCACAGCTAAAGAGCAGCTCCCATCAGGGCGTGCTTTGCTCGGCAAGCTGATAATAGAAAAGAGCCCCAGTGATTTCCCCAAAATGCAGAAACATATTGATTCTTACTTGATGTCCCAGATGTAGATGTATGTGTCCACAGAACTGGTGACCAGTAGGTCTGGCTCAAACACTGCCCAGTCCAGGTCACTGCAAATGCAAAATCATAGATCAGTAAAGAAAAGCACACAGATGTTGCATCAACTTTTCACAAGCTGCCAGTACATTCTCCAACAAATTCACAGCAACTCCATGACATCTACTGAAACTTTTAAAGTAAAAAGCAAGATCTTAATAATTTCTCTAAGTAAATTCCAAGAAGCAATGAAATGCTCCTAAGTAAATTCCAGTGAAGCATCCTCCTAGTCCTGAACTTTACAGCTACCGTGTGTGTGCTCTTTCCCCTTCAGGCAAAGGGACACTGTCTCAAAGAGTTCTCTTTGAGGATTGTAACCACACATCCTTGGCATCAACCCCTCACTCTGGGATGACTCCCTGTTGGGTACACCAAGTGCACCTGGGACACAAACAGCCTCCAGTCAGCCCAAACAACTGTCATTCCAAGGGCTGCAAATACTTCCCACATCAGGAGCTTGAGTAAAAGCAGTCCCTCAACTGCATTTCCAACCCAGCATTGAAATGCGACCTTAAAACAAGAGGCACCACTGTAACATTCTCTAAACTTAGTCTTTGGGATTACCTGCCTTAATTAAGCTGCTATCACACAGAAACACAGCTGGGATTCAATTTAATAAACATGCTATCTGTTTCCCAGATGATGGCTGCTGCTCTTTACAAGGACAGCAGCCTAAGGCAAAGACATTCAAGCCATCAAGGGCTAAGTTGATAAACTGGGGGAGCCATGAGAGGGTGAGCCACTTCAACATGACATCATCACTAAATGGGAAGGCAGTCTAGTCCAGAGAAATGAGTGAAAACAGAGCCTGAGTGGGGACAGGACCAAAACATTCAGCTTCTAAGAAACAATGCATTATTTTCCACTCAGCAGCCCACAGCATTGCTTGTTCTTCACCTGATCACACGTGTGTGTCCTTGCAGAGATGTGCAAACTTCCCCATTTCCTTCCTTCCACTTATACAGGTCAACACGCTGATTGCTCTGCAATTAGGTGGAACAAAAGAGAGACAGTCTCAGGCCAACAAGGTAGGACATGGATCTGTGTGTTAGGACCAGGTTCCCTTCACTTTGAACAACCTCAGTTAGCAATGAGTCATGCTGTGATTAGCAAAGTCTTGGCCCAAAGCAGGAGAGCAAAGATGAAATACAGGCTGCAAGGACTTTCAAAAGCTTACACTTTAATTACACCCACTTAAAACTTGAGATAAACTAGAAAAGGAGAAAAAAATCCCACATTGCAAAATCTTTCCATGAAATTATGTTCTCAGAGTCTTTATTTCCTAACAACATGCTGTAACTGCAGGCAACAGGCAGACAAATTCTGTCTGCAGGAATACCCTGCCAGTCTGTCAGATTCACAAGTGGAGGTTTTGGTGAGGGGGATGATGGATCACCACTGGTCGTCCTCAGCTCTCTCTCATTTCCCTTCTGGGATAACCAGGGCCATTGCCAAACACCAACAATACAGTCCAATGGCTTCAAGGACACCTCCTCAAGGGGACTCCCCCAATCCTTGCCAGCCCAGGAGAAAAGCTTTAAGTGTGTATCACTGGCTGTAAAAAACAACAGCAAACCAGATGTATCAATGACAATATTATTCAGGGTTCCTTCACTCATTCCAGGAATAAATCCTTGCCCAAATGCAGCCACATGCAAAGTTACTTGAAACTAGTTATTGTGCTGTAAATTCATGTTCTGTCTCAATCAAGGTTCACTTCAGGCCAACCCAAGTCTAATCTTTCTGGGGCTGGAATTGCCTTTGTGGGCGCATACAGAGTACCAAGCACAGTGGATCATGACCAGAAATTCATGCAGATTTTGCAAAACCTGAGAGAACATGACCTTAAAATGTTATTTTCATTAGCCCCCTCTTTTCAGACTTTTAGGTAGATGAGGGAAAAGATAAGAGACCTCACAGAAACACACAGTTGTTGAGGTTGGAAAAGACCTCTAAAATGACTGAGTTCAACTGTTATGTTACAATTTTTGTGGCAGTTTTTTTTTTGTGGTGGTGGATTTTCTTCCTACCCCAAAGTTGCTTCATGTGAATTTCAACTTGCAGATAGATAAAACATTACAGCTTTCTTTGAAATGAAAGGTCTCATCCCAGCTCAGCAATAATATATGACATTTCTCTAACTGCTCACAGCAGGGCTGCACAAGAGCTCAGGGCAAGAAAAAACTCTTTGTATGTTTCTCATTGACAGAAGTATTTAAGGGGTAGAGTGAAATCACCCAATGGGATTTACCCAAGACTCCAGAGACAAGACACAACATAATGATCACCAGAGAAACTGCTCCTCCCAACAGCAGCATTTTCTAAAAAACTGTGATTTCCGTAAGTATCAGTATTCACTTCCCGCAATTTAATCACCCCCTTGCTCAAGAATCTGTGGCCACACAGAAGAAAAAACAAGGATCTAGGATTGAAAACAACAACACTTCTGAAACAACAGCTTAGGAGTCCCCAAAAAAATGCTTGAGCAAGAGGGCAGACACAGCCAAGCACAGCACAAGAATTTGCTCCAGCTCTTCTGGAAAGAAGCTAAACACAAGGACAGATTCCCCTCTGCCTGTACCACTTCCAATTAACTGGACTGCAAACCAGATGATGCTGCTGGCAAACAGGATGGCAGCCTTTTACATCCCTTTTCCACTCACAGGGATGGAGAAGGATAAGACCCTTGGGCTGTTTACAATGCAGTAAAATGGCTTGAAAGGTGGTATTTTTGACCCAGACTGAAAAAGCTGCCTGATCTCACCTTGGGGATTTCTGAACCAGTGTGTCTCAGCAACTGTGTTCAAATCCCCAGAGCATCATAGCATCTTTGTTCATAAACAGAAGCAGCAAGGTTTGATGCCAGCTACACCTGGTTTCAGCCTGGAACAAGATGGGTTCCTGTGACCACTCAGAGCAGCAAGAGGCAGGAGTGCTCAGATGGGCGAGATGGGCACAGCTCTCCTTTGCAGCAGGGTCCTGCTCAGATCAGCATGAACTCATCACTGGATATTGTCTTCAGAGTGTGCTTGAAAAGAAGCTTTCCTGCTCCACTTGTGGCCTGGCCAGTGCATTTCCTTACTCGGTTTTGGTTTCCACAGACTGCATCCAGAAGTGGCACTGAAGGACACCTTTTTGCCAGTTTTAGTAACTCTCTGCTCAGGAGAAGACTGCTGCTGGAGGCACCTTTAAGGCATCAGTCATGTGCCAGAGCTGGAAAGAGACAGGCTGGGGAATGTCAGAGAGCAAACAGCCAGGGGCTCCCAGCTGACAGCACCAGTCCACTTTTAAAACTGCCTTTAATTAAAAACATAGCAAATCCAGGAAGCAAAAGGAACAAAAATCCTAAGAAATCACCTTCAACTAGGTGTTATATCAAAATAATAGACAGAGAGATTTCTCTATCCCTAGCTAGTCCAGGACTCTCAGGCTATAAAAGCAGACAACACAGCAGAAAGGGCAGCTCACCCTGGAAACAGTGTGCACCTGGCTGGTGCCAATGGCCAGGCTGCTGTGGGTGATGGCTGAGATTTCCACTGGCAGAGCTCAGGACCTGGGTGAACAAACTGCAGAGCACGCAGGCTGCTGTGGGTGATGGCTGAGATTTCCACTGGCAGAGCTCAGGGCCCAGGGTGAACAAACTGCAGAGCACAACAGACCAAGTACAGAGCAGAGCTGAAAACTGCACTCTGTCTCACACAGCCATTACTGCTTCTTCAGCCCAACCCACTGCCCCATGGAGCTCCTCACTGATACAGTCCATGCCCAGCTGCAAACCCCAAGCTACAAGTCAGTATTGACCTGTGCTATTTACAGACTGCGTGGTGCACCACAGCCGAGCAGCAAGGCAGGGAGGTGAAACCAAAACAGCACAGAGCAAGAAATTCAAGAAGTGCACAAATCTCAGAGTGGAAATCGGAAAAAAAAAAGAGCACTTCCCTCAGAAAAGAACCATTTATTTGGCATAGTGTTTTGTAAATGACAAGCAAGCAAAACCAGATGCAACTCTGACTGCCCAATAACTGAGAGCCATTCAGCTGAACACCTCACTGGCAGTAAATCAGAATCAGGCCTTGATCTTGCAATGTGACTTGCAGAAGCATGTCTGTGCCAGCTCCACACAGCCTTCCAGCTCTGCAGAGGCTCACCCATGAAAGGAAGACAAGGGAAGAAGATGAGTTACAGCTTTTAAACGAGTGAACTCACCGAAGCTGCAAAGTAGTAGGCGTAGCTGTCGTGGGGGTTCCACTGCACCGCCCCAATGTCCCACTTGCTCTGCCGGGAGATCTTCCGGTGACCCTCGTTTGGTGCATCCAGGTTGACAATGTAGAGGAAACGGCGGCTGCAAGACACAGAACAAAGGGGCTGCACCTCACAGGACTGATCTCAAAACTCACACAGAGCTCACAGCCTTGTGTCTAGAGGCACAAGAACCAGAAGAAGAGAAGCATTTCATGAGACAAGTGAAAACACTATTCCTGAAAATGCTACATTTGACTACATACTTCAAAACTGACATAAAAAAACTCATAATCCCACAACAAAGACAAGACATGCTGAAAATAAAAAGGATCTGCAAATGTAATTGATAGCTTACACCACAGAAAAACCCAGATAACTTGGATACAAAAGGAAGAGCTGGAAAATGGTGCAAATACATTCAAACAGGCTTTGCAGGCCTAACGCTGCAGCAGCAGAGCCTAAGTGGCACAGTCCCAGAAGTGCAATGCAACAGCTTCAGCCTGGACAGGTTGCTCTGAGCAAGAGTTAATGAGCCTTGACAAAGATGATTCTACGTGGGTGCTTCTTTCCACACCAGTCTGAGGGCTTGGTTCCACCAACAGTACAAAAACACCTGCACAGAGCTCGTGCTCAGCTGCAGCAGCTTTTTAACGTGGGTGGACACAGTCCTGCACAGATTTGATTCCATTACTTACCTGAGCTAACTCTGTATGCAGCAGAAATAATTCTGTGTGATGGCAAACCTGAGCTCATACATCCTGCTGGATATGGCCAGCTCCCCACAAAGCAAGGTATCATCCTGTGTTATTCATCTTACAAGCAAGAGAAACTGGCCAGAAATAATTGTGAGCTAGCTGAACCCTATGGAGGACCAGCATCAAAACATAATGAACCCTACATAATTATCCACATGAGCATCATCTCTCAGCTGCAAAGTGACCACACAGCTGCTCTGAGCACTGGCCTTTCCTCCTGTTATTCCTGTACAGCACTGCCAGACTAAGGGTTTACATGGAAGCAAGCAAGGACTTGGTTCCCTGAAGACTGACCAAAGATTGGCTATACTCACATGATTCTAAAATGAACATTCTAATTGGTGTGTCAATTGTGTCACTGACAGGGGGACAGGAATAGCTGTCAGCACTGAAAAGCAGGAGCTGGAAAGGCACTGCTGAGCTGGTTGAAAACTTGCTCTGGAAGTGGATACATAAGACCAAGCTCTCCTGGAAGCTTGGGCAACTTGGAAGTCTGTGGCACATACTGTGTTTGTGAGTATCATTCCACACTGAACTAGCAGAGAAGCAGGTCAGAGAGCCCCATGGGAATGTTTGAGACAAATTTTGTTAGGAAATAATCTAATCCATATTTCAAGACAATCCAAATAGTACTTCATGATGCTTCATCTCCCATATGGGGATTTGGGAAGGAATTTACCAGGAAAGCCACGCCAGTATTTTATTGTGCTCTTGTTGCCGTCTCTCCAATCTGTATCCTATTGGGAACATGACCCAGAATCAGCTTCATTAAGCCTTGAACAGAATTCAGCTGCACCTTTCTGAAACAATCCATCAACCCTGCAGCTGAGGTCAGCCTGAAGGTTGCTGGTCTGGCTTGTGGAAATGACTGTCACACTTCTAACGGGGACTGTCACACTCACCCCGAGAGAACAGCGCGCTGTCCCAGGCAATCCACTGACATCGCAGTCGCCTGTTAAAGAGAAACACAGAACAAAATTAAATAATACCTGTCAGGTCAGCTGCTCAACCAAACATATGGCTTTAGGAAGGAGTGCAGGAAAGTAGCATCTCCTTAAAGTAGCTCAGAGGGGCGTAGTGGTTGATTTTGGGATGCAGGACAGCACACAGAAACATCTTTGTTAGCATAAACCGAAAACAAAACCTGGCAGAAAACATTATGAGCACTAAGACCTTGCTCCCTTCTTCCTGCTATGGCAATCACAGCTGCAGCCTTTCAATCAGCAATCTCTAATAATCTGTATTAATCAGCCTCTGCTCCTGCTCAGGAACTTTCTCTCTCTTTCATTGCAGGGCCAGATTTAATTATATATGTACTGGGAGAATGAAGTGCAACCATTTGTGTACAGCTGGTCTCCAAAAATGAGAGCTGGCCAAGAGGCATCAGAATTTACTTTGCATTGTTTAAAAGAAGGCTATGAGATAACTTAAAGGCCATTAGAAAAAAAAAATTAAAGAAGGACTGTTTTGATATTGTCTCCCCCTCTTTCTGTGCAGAATATACTGGCTGATCATCTTTTTTAAATGCCAAGACAATAAAGGAAAATTTTACTTGGAAAGCTGAACAGTTCAGCCCATAAACACAGATATGACTTCAATAGAGTTTTAAGCATTCACAGTACCAAAATCAGAATATGCCCCACATTCTTCACACTAACTGCTGTCATCTTCAAAGCCGCCTCTCTGAAGGCTCAGGATGTATCTCCTGCTGCTGTTCAGGATTTTAAGTGCTCTCAGCATGGATGTAACAAGACTTCAGGATGTCCCACAGTTACTACTTACAAGCATCACTAAAACCTGACAGACAACACAGAAATCCCACTCTTCAGTCAGATCTGACAGTAGAATATCCATCACAAATTCTGAGCTGTTTCAGCCGGGGCCCATCCCTTCCTTGCAAAAACCCCAAGTGAGGGAAAAGCAGCATCACAGACCCATTGTTCTCTAGAGACCACATGGCAAACAGCTACAGCTGCCTGCAGAGCTTCAGCAGGAGCTCATGGTAAACCAAACCCCATTTCACCACTTTTACTGTTCCAGGAACAACCCCCTTTCATTATTTTTTCCTAGGCAGCAAATCAAATCTTCTGGCGAAGTTTCCCTAGTCTTAAAGCTACTGCTGTAAATAAACAGCTAGTTTTAAGATCTCTAAATGATAAGGAAACAATTCCAGCTTTCTAGACCCCACAGCACTTGCAAAACACAGAAGAAAACCTGCAAAAAAGTAGGTTGCTGAATCTATATAAAAAACCAACCAAACAAAACAAATCAACAGAAGAAAGAACTCTTCCCAGATGGTACACATTTTTCTTCTGAAAAACTAAAATGGGGATCACTAAAGCCACTTCAGTAATCAGAGCTTTCTCATGTGATAAAGATCTAGTCAGGAGACATATTTCATACAGTTGGAGCCCTCTTTCCTCAAAACAGAAAAAAACCACGTCAATTTAAAATTATTTATAATTTCATATATAAGTTTATTTTTCCTAGTGTTGGCACCAGGGTCTCATAAGTCCTTACAAATTGTTTTCAATAAAGAACACTGGTAAACTGTTCTTTTCCAGGCACCAAGCATCACAAAATGTAATGAACAATCTGAATGATGTAAAAAGTTTCACACGTCAGGCTGCTACTCTGATGGGTCACAAATTAGGTTGTTTCACAGCAACAAACAGCTCCCTGTGATACAAGAGCCTTATCTAGGCACAGGAAAAAAAAAAAAAAAAAACAAACAGCTGCCATTTAATGTGCTTGGTACAGTGATATGTCAGTCTTCACAGCACAACCTTCCAGAAGAGGGGAGCTGAAACTGAACAAACCAACCTGAAAGCAGTTTTTATCCCAAAACAACACTGTGGATAGCTAGAACTGCTGTTCATGAATAACAATGACAAGAGTAAGCACAGCAGGAGCACTGCACCATTTGAGAACCCATTCTGAAGCCACAGCCCAGGCAGCATCTTCCCAGCCTTCAAGCATCTACTTTGGCATTCCACTTGATTTCTGCTAGGCAAGCCAAGGAAAACTCCTTTTCATGTCTGAACTTTCATTAGTTTCCAAATCAGCTTCATTCTCTCCACCTGAAAGGCAACACAGCAAACCAATTTGACATGGTTATGCTGTTTATCAAGAGCTGCAAACTCTTGACAAGCAATACCAGTTCCCTGCATACCTAACCTCCCATCCACACATTGAGCTGGTACAAATGGTTCCATTTCAGCACTGGGTGAGTTTTACTCTCCTTTTGATAGTGTCAACAGCCCAAGAAGAGCCTGTGGGTCCTGTTTAAATCAGAAGAGTACACAGACTGCCATCTCTGTCAGCTTGTACAGAAAAATGACACTTGTAGGTAACATAGGCCCCAAAACACACAGTGATTTTCTGAGGTGGTACAGGCTGGGTGCTGTAGCCTTCTCATGACACACTCCAGCATGGTGAACAAAGACAACTGCAGCGCTTGCAGAGGTGTACTGGCTATAAATGTAACAGCTCCCCCCTCTTTTGATTCTTGTTTCCATTTAGGTTGTTTTTGGGGTAGGGATTTTGGAGATAGTGTGGCCTACATGCAGAGCTCAAGACTGGCACTGGATGATTTCAGCCAAGGTGCTCCAATTTCTCAAGCTCAGGTCTCCCACCTGCAAAAATGTTCCTGCAGACTCCTAAAAAAAAAAATTCAGACACAAATATATAAACAAGTTCAGCCTGGAGCAGCAGCCTGGCAGCCCCAGCCAGAGCAGTTCTCTGGTTTCATATGGGACAGCAGGCAGGTCAGATCAGCTCCAGGAAGACCACACCAGAGTAAAGCAAAGTGACTGAAACCCCTGTGCTCACCCTGTGCCACGGTTTGTGCCAGTGCAGGAGTGACACTGAAGCCAACTGCTGCAGCATGGGATGGCAGCACCTGTCCCTTCTGCTCCCACACACCAGACATTATGAGTAAGCAATAAAGTCATGAGGCCTCCTATCTCCTGAGCCAGATGCAACATGAATCTGTGGTGTAGGAAGATGTGCCCTCGTATCTCATTACTGGCTTCCTGAGGGCAGATCCTCAGCAGCAGACGAGGCTGCTTTAACGCTTCTGGGAGGAAAAATAATACAAAGGTTTTGAGGTGCAGAAGTGAAAAGCTTTGTGAGCTTACAGAGGGTAGGCTGGATGCAGCACACAGGGTTCAATGCTTCTGTTTGCAATGGTGAAGGCAGAGCCCTTACTGCTCCAGCACAAGAGGACAAATGAGACAAGAGAGCTTCTAGAACTATTTTTAAAAATCTTTCTGGGTTTCCTGCTGAAGTATCTCATAGTTCACCCACTGTATCAGCCTTTGTTAAGATATTGCCAACACCTTAGAACCCCCACATTTCTTAGAACAGAATCATAGAATCCTAGAATGGCTTGGGTTGGAAGGAACTTTAAGACCATTTTCCTCCAAATCTCTGTCATGGGCAGGGATATCTTCACGAGGTTGCTCAAAGCCCTGTCTAGCCTAGCCTTGAACACTTCCAAGGATGTAAGAACAACTTCTACAACAGCATGTGAGCAAACAAACTCTGTGCTGAGCTCTACTACCACCATCAGCTTCAAAAACAAAAGCTGACCTTTTTGCTATTCACAAAAAAAATGTAAGTCACTTTTTATTTTAATCAAGTAACACCCAGCAATTTATTTGGCAGTGAGACAGTAGCTGTAACAGTCTCTGAGAAAAGCGACAGAGCCATAGAATGATTTGGGTTGGAGGAGACCTTAAAGCTCCTCTCATTCCAACATTCCAACCCCCTGCCATACGCAGGCACCCTTCGCCAGACCAGGCTGCTCAGGGCCCCATCCACGTGTGGGAATTGGCAATGTAGTATCTCAGGCCTGAAAACGTATTAAAAAAAGATACAAGACCTAATTAAGATTACACATTAAGTGCCCCGTGAATTAAGGCGTTATCTCCGCGCAAAGGACTCCAGGCCGCCTCGGCCCCGGCCATCGCCGCCGAAAGGCCCCGCGGGGCCGCCGAGCCCTCCCGGGCCGGGACCTCCCCCCGCTGCGCTCGTCACGGGCCGGCCGGGGGCTGCCCCCGCGGCGCGGTGATGCGGCAGCCCCCGGGCCCCCCGACCTGGGCGTCGCGGAACTCCACCACCACATTCTCGCTGCTCCAGCGCGCCGCCATCTTGGGCCGCCTCGGCGGAGCCTGCGCGGCACCTGCGCACTTTAGGGCGCCGTGCGGGGACTGCTGGGAGATGTAGTCCCGCCGTTCACCTCCCCCCACCCGCCCCCGGCCCGGTGAACTGGGACAGCGAGTCCCGTGGAGCCGGTGGGGGTCCCACGGCCCGAGGGGGAGATCCCCGTACAGGCCCGGCCTCGCCGGAGGGGCTCTGGCCGCAGAGGCCCGAGGGTGGTCTCAGCCCCTCTAGGGAGCAAGATGTGTGCGTGGCGTGGGTCGAGAGTTGTGTTCCGCGGGGCAGCGCCCGCTCGTCGGTGCGGTGGCGGCTCCGCGTCCCGCGGCGGGGCGAGCGCAGCGCCGGGCGGCGGCGGTGCACGGGTTAAGGGCGGCGGGCCGGGGGGGCCGGGGGCGGGAGCATGCGTGCTGCCGGCCGCTATTGTCTCCGGCGCGGCGCCCAGCACCAGGCGGCGGCCGCAGCGAGGCCGTGCCCGGCTAGGCACAGGAAA